ATGCTCGTGGAAAGAAAATAATGAAATTAGAAAATCAACTAACAGTTAAGGCTATATATGTTGCAGGTCCTATTTTCTCCAGTAACTTGTTACATGGTCTGTTTATGTTTCTTGGATGTGCCCACTTCTATGTGCAATTTCCCTTGCAGAGCCTGTTAATAGTTCTACCATTAAGGCTATATATGTTGCGGGTCCTATTTCCTTTAGTAACTTGTTACATTGTCAGTTTATGTTTCTTGGATGTGATCACTTCTAGGTGCAATTTCCCTTGCGTAGCATGTTAATGGTTAAGGCTATTATTTAAGAATTTAAGATATCTGTAACCATTACAAACTCTTTAGATTCTCCATCTCTAGAATTTTTTCAATCTTAGGATATTTTTACTTTTCCAACTCTTAACTTCCATGTAATTACTTAAAAAATAACTTGTTTGGATTTTAGATTAAAGTGAACAAGAAGAAGCTCCCAAGGAGAGTTTTGCTTGAAAGAGTCAAAGTACTAGATGGACGTGAAACTGGTAGTCTGTTTCGTGGATTCAGACCTGTAGCTCCTAAATCAGATTTGTAAGTAATCAAGGTCTTGACAATGTGTTGTATGAATATTGTCTTTAACATAATTTGCTTACTTTCCTTAACAAGACTGATTTATGAACAATGTCTCTTGAATGGGAATACGACTACCTATATTGGACATTGGATTAATTTTAATCTTCTCAATCATATGGCATTCTTGATGAGAATGTTGGAATGTAATAATATTGCTACTCTGTTCGGGCCTTGTTCTGGTCCTTATGGTTGGAGAGGAATAAGCATATCTTCCTCGATAAGAAGCGGTCACATCCCTTTCTGTTTGATTCTATAGTTTTTTGGTTATCACTTGGTGTAAATGCTCTCCAATCTTTCATTCCTATAGTTTTGATTCGATGTTAGCTAATTGGAGAGCTTTTTTGTAACTCATTTTCTGAGTTCTCTCCCGTTTGTAATTTCATATCATCAATGAAATTGTTTCTTCAAAATGCTACTCTGTGTGGTTAGTCCTGTGAAGCTCTTCCCGTGTTGGTTTAAAAGGCTTGATGCTGATCATTGACTTAAGCTTTTATTTCAAATTCCCTTGTCGTCCATCATACTAGACTACTAGCCCTTTGTCCATTTTGGCAAGAAAATGAAGTATAATCAGTCATATTCCGGTGCCATCTTAAAATGGTTTCTACTCTTATTTTGTAACTAGCATCTCCAATTTTTATTTCATTTTTATTTTTTTTCCTAAAGAAATGGAAATGTAGTAATTAATCACAAAAGAGGAAACAGCCTAAGGCAGAGGGTGGAGATCACCCACTCCCAAACCCTATACAATCGTAGTTCACATCTGAAATACTTTGCTAGTTCCACACGTGTCAAGTAATAATCCTCAAAAGTTTCTCCCAAATAATTCCATCCTCACCAAGAAAACTCCTATTTAGGCTTCAAAAGCAACAATCATTAGAGGTTTGAATTTCATAACCTTGCTTCCTGCTTATTGTCTTCTAATAAAACCTGTTTCTTTTCTTTATGTATTTCAACATCTTTTGCTTGAAACAAGTATATGAAAACTTCGGATCTGTGCATAAATTAGATCAAAAGCGTCCAGAGCAAAGAGATTGCTTCAAAAGAGGGAAAGAATCAAGGAAGAAAAGAAGGCTAGAGCCTTGGCTGCTGGAGTCAATGTCAGCTATGATGATGTAGATGATGAGCCAGCGGTAATTGTTTTGTTGTTTACTGATTTGTATTGCATATGAGCTTGGTTAAGAGTGTTTTTATTTTCATCTGTGATGTTTCTAGCTACGAGTGCACCGAGAATCTCCCCTGCCTAATCTTCTGAAGGATGAAGAATATCATAATCTTATTGTTGATGTTAGTACCTTTTACAATTTCTCTATCTTTCTACTTTTCCTCTGTGTACCATTTCAGGTGGAGGTGCATTGTGCCAAATGAAAATTAATCATGTGCCCAACCTTTTATGTAGTTCCATTGTTTCACCACCTAACTCCTATTTTATGCACTCACATTTAATCATCCACCTAATGCTTTCCTTGTGATTTGCATAGTTATGCAAGGCGTTGGCTTCCTTGGGAAGATGTTCTGAAGCTTTGGAGATTATAAGTCTGACTTTAAAGCTGGCTTTTAATTCATTATCCATGGAAAGGAAGGAGGAACTACAGTTACTGGGGGCTCGTAAGTTTCTTTTGCAAGTTGTTAACACTTGTTACATCTATTTTGCATGTTTTCCACAATGGGCTAGATTAATGACATGCTTCATAAGGAGATGGTCGACTAAAATAAACTTTTTGTTCCTGAGGTTTGGGGTAGGTGGCTATTTGGTACCTGAAGTTTCAAAATTGACATTTTTAGCCACTGAGGTTTGTAAAATAGTTCTAAATAGTCCTTAGATGCTTTGAACGTTAAAGTTAAAAAAAAGAAGATGGTTTGACCATTAGTTGAGTAACTATGTTAGATGTGAAATTGTTGATTTGACAAAATATATTAATTAAATAATATTCTTATGGTGATTGGACATTTTCCTTCTTCTCATTCCTCCCTCCTTCGCTGCGGGCCGCTTCCTCTCTGCCGTTTGCCTGTAGGCCATTGCTCGCCTGCCATCCACCCTCCATTCCAGATCTGGAAGAGGAATGGCAGCGAGGAAGCGGCCCATGGCGAAGTTTAACGGAGGAGAGGAGGGAGGAATGAGAAGGAATAAGATGTCCAATCACCATAAAAATATATTATTTAATTAATATATTTTACCAAATCAACCATTACAATCAACAATTTAACATCCTTTTAACTAACGGAAAAAGCATCCTTGGGACCATTTTACAAATCTTAGAGACTAAAAGTATTATTTTGAAACTTCAGAGACCAAATAGACACCTACCTCAAACCTCAAAGATCAAAATATATTTTGCCCTAAATTGTTTTACTTTCTCATCTCGTGAATTGCATATTCTACTGTATTAAAATGGCCTCTTGAGGGCATAGAAGAATAGCCATTTATCACAATGTAATTGTTAAATATGGAAACATGAATTTGTTTGATTTTCTAAGCTTGAGGCATTTATCTGCTTTATTATATTATTAAGTTTTCTCTCACAGAATTAGCATTCAGCTCAACTGATACCAAGCATGGATTCAACTTTGCGAAGCACGTTGTTAAGCAGTACCCTTATAGCAACTCTGCTTGGAACTGCTATTATAAAGTATCTTCAAGGTATCTGAGCCTTTGTTATTTGGTTTGAAAATTAAAATTGTAGTTTTTTTTTTAATCAAGATCGGCAAAGAACACCCAGGTTCCTATTAAGATCTTTAAAGATTTTGTTGTTTTAATTCTTTCTATCCAAATCAACCATAGAAATAACTTTTATATTGTTTCTCCAAAGGACCCTAGCTTTTCCTCCCTACCATTAACCCGAAAGAAGTTTTAGAAGCACCATGTTGAACACTCCAGGCAAACCCAAATTTATTGCACAGAAGGAACCAGCAAGCTGCAGCCAATTTGCAAACAATGAAAAGTTGGTATAGGGATTCTTCATTGCACACACAGTTCAGATATACATGGGGAAGGAGAGTGGTGTGGGTTCCTCCATACTCTTGTAGGCAAGGGACCATAAGAAAATTTGAATATTTTTTTGGGGACCATGAAGTGCCAAATCTCATTTGTTAGCAACCTAACTAGCTTTGCAATTTTATTGGAGAAACAAAGAATGGCTCATTTATACATGAAATCTCTTTAGGGGCCTTGCTGTCATAATCCATTAAGATTTAGCCCTTTGTTGCTCCGATTTTGAAAAACTCTAAAGGCATCTAGAGTCATACCATGCAGCTGCCATTTTAGCTGGGGAGCAGTATTTTCCAGCCTGTTCACAAGAATCAGCCACTCCTCGAACTTACCATCTTGCAAATTTCTCCTCCACTCCAAAATTTTGCCGAAGATGCTTGAATTCGAGCAGTTTAAACCCTTTTTCCTTTTTTTTTTCTCGAGTAGGGTGGAAATTCGAACCTATTACCCTTCAAAGGAGATAGAGATGCCTTAATCATTAAGTAATCCTTCTTTAGAGGGAGCTGTGACGTACAAGTTTGGTAAATTGTACAGTAACTTTTTATTTACTCTGTTTTTTCTAATAAATTAGTAATTTACTACGGAGCATCATGCTTGTTTTTCTTGTTTTCCATGAATTACAACTCACTTGAGGATATCCTGTATTCTAGAATGACGCACCGGGATTCAAGGCATTGCAAGCTTTTGAATAGCATTCAAGCCAAATACAAAGATTGTGCACCACCCTTTATCATTGCCGGGCATCAATTTAACGCTATTAGCCATCATCAAGAGGCTGCCAAGAAATATCTTGAAGCTTATAAACTATTGCCGGATAGTCCCTTAATTAACTTGTGTGTTGGTATGGACCCTGTTATTCAATGCTCTATATTTAGAACTCTTATTTTGAGATACTCGATGCTTGCTACAATTTTCTTCCTCGGCCTGAAAGTGACACGTGTTCCTTTCAGGCGCTGCCTTAATCAACTTAGCACTTGGATTACGTCTTCAAAACAAGCATCAGTGTGTTGCGCAAGGCTTGGCATTCCTCTACAACAATTTGAAGCTTTGTGATAACAGCCAGGTATTTGTAATTGTACCTGCCTAACCCTCCCCCACCCCACCCCCCCAGAAAAAGAAATAGCAACAACATAAATAATTATGTTAACAAACAGAATTGGCAAGGATCAGCAAACCGATAAAATGGCATTGTTTGTCATTTAAGCTATGAGTACGAGTAGTGATTAGATAAAGAAAGGGAGTTATTTGTCACTTGAGCTATGAGTATTGATGAGTTACGGTTATGAAAGTTGTGATGCAAAAAGATCTGTTCTATTTTCCATCCTCATTTTCTATGCCTTCAATTTGTATTTCCTATGCAAGGAGAAGACCTTGGGCTGGTGTTTTCCAGTTACTGGTTATTAAGAATGAGCTGAATGAAGGGTCATTAGTTGGTTAGAGGTAGGCAAACGGATACAAAGACCTGAGAGGACAGCATACTTTTGGGGGAACTTGAAAGGGGGGACTACGAAAATGCCTATAACTTGCATTAGCCTTGCTGTAATATTTCTGCAGCCACTAACAAGTGGCATGTTCATTTGCTTTCTAGCATGAAATCTTGTGGTTTTAGTTCAGAACCTGATTTTTCTACCATTCTTGTGCATATTTTGTGATTCCCTCGTTACTTATTTCCAGGAAGCCTTATACAACATTGCTCGAGCATATCATCACATTGGACTCGTGACACTGGCGGTTACATATTACGAAAAGGTGCTTGCAACTTACCAAAAGGATTGCCCCATCCCAGACATTTTTGGTGAGAATCGAAACATCAAGCATGAGAAATCAGTCTACTGTGACCTGCGCAGAGAAGCAGCTTACAATCTACATCTTATTTACAAAAAGAGTGGAGCTCTTGATCTTGCTAGGCAAGTCCTAAAAGACCATTGCACTTTTTAAGTAGGAAGCACTATGTTTTAACATGTAGCAAGAAGTAAATAATGTTATTTAGACAATCATTGTCCATAGGTTGAGATATTGTAGTTCAAAGTAATAGGCTTAACTAATTTAACATTAGATAGGTGCAAACTCATGACTGAGTTTTTAAGGATTAAGTGACGATTATGTATATACATCTATCAACATTTGGCTACCTCCTAATATTTTGTTGACAAAACAATATAGGTAAAAAGTTATCATGTATATAACTTATATCCTACTACTATAAGATTTTTAAATAGTCTACATTCTTTTGGCGATGTTTATTTTAGTCTTTGTACGTACTTTTTAAAGTATCTATTTTGGCCCTTATGCTTTTAAAAAAGTGATCATTTTGGTTCTTTTAAGTTTCATTTTTATCTCATTTGTTTTTATTATAATTTTAGCATGCAAATAATTTATTTCACATTGTGTACATAATTTTACATTGAAAAATTTACTTTTATTTTTAGACATCATTCCTCTATCCATACATATATATCGTGAAATCATTCCTATAACTGTAGTTTAGGCAAATATTAGGGTTTTATGGTCTTAGTAAGAAAATTCATACCTTATACGAAAAGTTGTTAGGCATGAATGATTGGACAAAAAAAAAACTTCACCATTGATTAGGGTACAAAAATTTACTGTCCATCCTATTTCCAAAAAAAAAAAAAAGAAAAAAAATTACCGCCCATCAAAGTTTTTATACGTGGGAGAGGAAACGGCAGAAATGTACTTTTTCTCTTTCTCAAAAACATCTGGAAAAAAAAATAAAAAATAAAAAATTTAGTGGTGGATAACATGTAAGTTTTGTTCCAATGACTTTAAACATCGGAAGATTGTTATATACTTTCCCTTCGCAATTTGTTATGAATTTTCAGAACTTCAAAAAATGGACAAAAGTTTATGGAAATTTAAACTTGCAATGAACATCGTCGTGAACAGCATAATTTCTTATTCATTTTTCACATCATATCTAAATCGGTACCACATTAAACAGTAAATTTGATAGCTAATAGTCTTACCAGAAGAACGAAGTGAAAATTCGATTAAAATTCACATCCAATTTAATAATGCCAATTAAACGAACATGCCAACATTTAGAATGGCAAATGTTCCAACCATCAGTTTTACTTGGGAGGAACACACACAACAGCATGAAAAACTGTTAAATTTAGAATTCAATTCGACCACTCGGTTCAATGCTGCAACTTTGATTTCAATGATTCAATGACAGCTGAGAAATCCTGATCACCAAGTCCGTGAGATTTGGCTACCTTGTATAGCTCGTTTGTGGCTGCAGCGATGGGAGTCGGTTGGGAAACAGATTCGGCTAAACCCAGAGCAAGTCTCAAGTCCTGCAACACGACAACTAGCCTCATCAGATGATGGCATAGATGGCCGAACTTTTATTGAGAAAAATGAAAGAACGATGTTGTTGAATCTAAACATGATGACATGGATGTGTACCAAGGTTTTTTGTAGATAGAAAATCAAACTTCATGAAAGAATAAATCTATGATGACATGTGTATGGAGTTTTCTTATTGAAAGAAAAATCAAGCTTTTATTGAGAAAAAAGAAAGAGCAATGTTGCTAAATCTAAACATGATGACATAGATGTGCATATAGTTACTAAATCTAGAACAATTACCTTCTGCTGATGCTTCAAGGGAAAGGCAGTGGGATAGAGAGATTTAATCATTGATGGCCCCTTGAGTGAGTACATCGGTGCACTGATAGCACCCTGGGAAACCACCTGTAAATGAGTAAGTTAAAAACTTAGCATGGACAAATTTGATAGATTGCTACTGGAATAGAATTAGGGATATTATTAGGGTATCGAGGGTATAGAGTAGTTAGTTAGGGAAGTTGTTGGGAAATTTGTTATAATTAGAGTGAGTAAGAAAGGATTGAGGTATACAATTATTTAGTATAATTGAGACTTAAGTAAGAATACTCAAGAGAGGAGAGGGTCTAAATACCTCAAATTACTTGGTAGTTATTATAGTTCTTCTATCTTTTATATTTCAATATATTTCTGGTTGTTAGGATTCTATCAAAATTACGCTATTTATTTTTATTAGATATACTGATTCATGTGACGAGCAGTGGAACAGAAGTTTAATTATTCGACTTTTTTTTGAAGTTTTCTTTGAGCACTAAGCATAAAACAAAGCACAATGCATATTCATACCTCAACAAGGATGCTAGGGTCGAGTCCTACTTTCTCACTTAGAAGCAGTCCTTCAGAGAAAGATGCCATCATGCTACAAATATTTAGAAAAAGAAATACAAAATCATTGTCAAGATACACGTTGGCAGAAGCTCCAAATTATAGATAATAGAGATAAAATATGGGACAGAACAGAACCTTCCCATGATCATGTTGACAACAAGTTTCATTGCAGCTCCATTTCCCACTTCCCCAAGATAAAATTTTGACTGTAAAAAGAGAATATACAAACAGAAGATGAGAAGAGAAGGGACAACTATTTTCAACAAGCTAGATAGCCATATAAACAGCTGGAATTCTCACTACCTTCCCCATGATGTCCAAAAGTGGAGCTACTCTTTCATACAGAGATTTGTCACCTGAATATGGGGCCACTAGATCAGAATTCTATCACTCCTATAATAAAATAATGATGCACATATGAAAAGACACAGAAAACTGATGGACTGTACGATAAATCTATTCTATACAGCTCTTGGTGATTTCGATGATAATAGTAATACCAATAGACACACAAATGTACATCTCCTTGGCACTCGCTGCAAATTACTGCAATATCTGGTATAAAATTTAAATGGTAAGTGATAAGATGTGTGATGCCTTTGTGATATAAGTTGCTAACCTGCAGTAAGAAATATAAGTTGTCCATCTTCAGCCGGCTTTTTGGAGCCTGAAACCGGAGCCTGGAAGAAACTTTCAATTAGTAAGTTTGAATGTCAATAATTACAATACGAATTTCGGCAAGCGGTTCTAGAATGTTCATTCTATCTGTGCTCGCTGTATTGCATGCATGACTATAATTATTATCCTACCTCTAGAAATAGAGCTCCTGTATCTTTTATACGGGCATTAATCAATTTAGAAGTAGCAGCATCAACTGTTGAAACATCCACGTACCTGCCAATTGCAAGAAGGATACAACAAAATGTCTATATGAAGCTTAAAATAATCATATGAATGCGTGAGGAAGCGATCCAAATTGAAGAAATAGAAAACTGCACCAAAAGTGTCGGCAGGGGAAGTACTTAATAATAATCACAACTGCAATTTGTTCGAACAAGTTTTCTTCTATACAAATTTCGATAATATGAAGTGAAAAGGCCGTATTCTAATGTCACAGAAAATAAAGTTATACCCTTTTCCTTGACTCAATCCACTCGCAGCTCCATTTTCTCCGGAAGCAACATCCAACTGAAAATGATACAATAAGTTGCCAAACTGAAATACACAGTCTAAGAACTGAAATAAAATACACTCACCGCACTTTCAGGGTCAGCAAGCATAGCAAATGTGACATCACATGATGCTGCCACTTCCCGAGGAGAAGGCTGATATCTGCATAATCGTTTAAGAATAAATTTGAAATAGAAAGTTTACCAAATCGCAGGAATACTCACCAAAATTTAATGTTACTTACCTCGTGAAATTCGTAGAGATATCAAATTCAATGCTAACGGCGTATTCTTCTTCAACTCCTACTTCGAGTTGTTTACTAACACTCCGTTCTATTCAATTTCTTAACATTCTGATACTTTATGTACCACACCCTAAAGTCGGTGAAATCAATCAATTTGCTCTTAGTAGGCCAATTTGCATTTCTTTTAGTTTACAGTCTCTTTATGCTGATGCATGCGCTTGATGTTTGTTTCATCTCATTCCTTTATAATATTTGACATAGTATAGAATATATTTTTGGTAAGTTTCACTTGTGAAGAACCAAAGTTTTTCCAGACTTTTATACGCTACCTTTTTCGGCCATTATAACTTTATTCCATTAAATTAACGTTTCTAAGATCAGAATCTTCTCGTGGCCTATCTCTCACCAACGAATAACTCAAATGTTGGGAAGGGAGAAAAACTTGGCCATTTCTCCTGAACGGTGCTCCCTAACCAAAAGAAATCTAAAGACAGGAACAATTAATTTTTGGTTGTACAGTTGCTAGAGAAATCTGGAATTTCTTGGTATGTCTATTTCAGTTATAGAAATAAGCTTAAGTTTTTATGAACAATTTTGTGTCGCTGCCTTGTGTATGCTCCTGGACGAAGAGGAAGAATAGACAATTTAAAGAAAAGTTTAGCTCAGAGTTGAAATGAGAAGGAAATCATGAATTATGTCCGCTTGGGTGTTTGTACACGGGCTACATAGTCCAAATATTTTTGTAATTTTTTCTTCCTGTTGGATTCAAACAAAATTTGAGAACGGTTTAGTAACTTCAATGGTTTGTGGCTTCAAATCCTCCCCTTTTGGTGTTCTTCATTAGATACTCTAAAACACTTCTGTTTCCTATTAAAAGATATTATTCAACGGACTCCTTTCAAATTCATGTCTATTTGTATTTAGCTATTTGGAAAACTGGGAATCTCTGTGGAAACAAACAGAGCATTAAGGGACGACAGGCTTTATTACTAATTCTCTCGTTCCTGGAGTATTTGGAATGACTAGGAAACCATGAGTCAATTGGAATAAATTAATATGGGTCAATTATTTCTCCATCATGGTTCGACTCGAGTTTCTGGAATGAACTTCTCCATCGACTTGAAGTTCTTTATGTCTTCTTTGATAGGAATTATAGAATATTTTTTGAGAAGTGCTCGCAAAAGAGAATAACTACAAAGCTGTGTAATTTTAGCCTTAGGCAGTTCCAAAAAAATCTGCTGACGGAGATAAAAATAAAGTTGAAAATATCTGAATACCTCTTTCTGAAGCCAATTTTCTCTTCTGCTAATAAGTATGATATGGAGAGTTTTCTCTTGTCATTAATACAAGAAAAAAATTCCTCTCCATTTTATTTAAATTATGACAAATTTTTTCTTATACAAAACCTATACTCCTTCCATCTATCTCCTTTTTTTTCTTTTTTTTTAATAAGACGCGAACTTAAAAAGATGAGGAACAAAATTGTTCAAAGATACCAACAGAAGAAATAGGAAATCTAGAATAAAATGGGAAATTGTGCAATTAGAGGTTTCTCCTCCTCCATTTAGGACAAAAGAGTTTGGACAGGGGACTGCGTTCGCGTTTTTTAGCTGCAAAACTATTCTGTCTATTTATTCAGATTATATCCTCGTTTTTCAGAGGATAAAATTTCTGTGGTCGGCTTTCCAAGCATAAATCCTAATGATAAAGAGTACAAAAGAGGAATCCGAGTGTTTGTCTCAAGCCAAACTATTACTTGCTTTGCAAGTATTCCCAAGATGAGACGAATCATTTGTTCCTCAACTCTAGAGTATTCCAAGAGTATTTTGTGGCGCATCTTAAATGTTTCAACATGGATTCGTGTTCTCTTGCTCAGTCACACACAAGGTCTCCTGGTTTGTCTTTGAGGAGTTCACTCGAAAAGAAAGCAAGAGTTCTCGGATTGAATACCATTAGAATTTAGAGCCTAAACTTTTCCGAAATATTTGATTTAAAATACAATATATGCATCCTTTAGAATTGTTGTCTTGATCCTAGCGAGCTTTGGGACTCAAATTTACATTTGCTCTCCGAGGAGTTCCGGCTCAAAAGTTTTTTCTAATTATTCTGCCCCTATCGCAGCTATAACTGGTGCCTTCGTTCTTGGATATCTCATTCGCCTCGATGAAATATCTATTCTCGTGTAACGTGTTAGCGAGACACGATGATGAGACTGAGAAAAGAATACTAATTCCATGAGTTTCTCTCCCTAGTTCTCCTTTTTCCTCCCCTTCTCGAATCCTATACCCCTGTGGACACTACATAACAGTCTTGCTACTGCATTTCTGCTCCAGGAACGCCTGACCAGATCTATTCCTTCGTATAATGACATTAGGTGTGCAAAATATCTGACCACATCTATTCTTTCGTATAATGGTATTGTGTATGCAATAAATATATGTATGTATGTATTATTACAATAGTAATAAAAAAATTTGAGGACATCAAAAGCTTACTTTGCACCCAAGTTGATAAGAGGATCGCATTTGCTCTGGGTTCTATTCCAGACGGTAACATCATATCTACAAATAGCCAAAGAGAACAACACACAATTTAAAAAAACAAAATGTATGGGCAGATGATGGCATGAGAAACCTGGCTCAAGTAAATAAAACGGTTTTCTTCAACTGGAATAGTCTAATTACTTAAAAATCGATGAACGTAGCATTGTCCTTATATCAAGAGTCAACTTCGACTAGAGAGGAGCATTCAGTTCTTGGTAAAAGTTTAAAAGGAGGGTCGAGAAGAAAAAGGAAAAGGCATCCTCGTACCCAGATTTTATAAGGTTCTGTGCCATTGGTGAACCCATGATTCCGAGACCTAGGAAGCCAACACGCAGCTTTCCTGCAAATACAAAAAGTGAGAGAGGCCTTCAAGTTTGCTGGCTAGTGAATCTTCCAGCAAAAGAGAACAAATATACCAAATAAACAGAACAAAGCGAAAGTGTGAAAGTAATAACTCAGACTTCAAAGAAAGTTTAGATATCACTACATGGCTAATTTTGTTGCTTTCTTGTTCGTGTGGAAAACAAATTATTTTCAACGTTTTGGTAAAATTTAGTTGGAGTGCTATCTCCAGTCAACCCCTCTTCAGGAATTCATAACTATATTTGCAAATTGTTTGATCCTAATATGAAGATTTGAGAATCAGTGAAGATACGTCAAAGCTTTGACAACAAATCCCTCAATAAAGGATTCAAGTAAAAGCTGAATGTCAGCTCCAGGAAATGCGAGGGAAAGGCATATTCACGTAGAGTCACGCTCGTCAAAGCTTTAGCAGTGAAATCTCTCTATTTCATTCGCCAAAGCATTTCTTAAAATCGATCAAAGACCTGGCTTCACCAACATTTGCACCTTCCACAATCCACTGTTCCTATCCTCATTATTATGAACGTGAACTATAAAGTCATGCAACAGCATTCCACTTCCTAATTGTCTCCGGCTAAAAAATTTGTTTTGAGCGATCAGAAATAGATAAGAAAAGTCCAATACTTCCTGTAATTATTTCATTTTTAAGGACATAAACAAGGACTATTAATTCTTCCTAATTTGATGAATTTATTCACATCAATTCTCAACTGAAACCACAACTCGATCAAAGCTAAAAAATGAACTTAATCATCTATGCCGCATACTCAACGAGAAGTAAGAAAATGTCGTTCCGCTTAACAACTACATGTAAACCGATCAAACAACAAAAACTTCCAACAACGTCCTGTGTCTTTTCTGGTACAGAATGTAGCATTAGAAGATCGGCACGACCAGGGACAAATATAAGAACTCACAGCTGCGTATAACTATTCTATTTTCAAGGACAAAACCGAGGGCTACAAATTCTTTCTAGTATAGATGAATTTATCCACATCAATACTCAACTGACATCGCAACTCTATCAAAACAGAAAAAAAAATTTATCCTAATCATATCCGCCGCATACTCGACTCAAAGATCGCAACAAGAAGTAAGAAAATGCAGCTCCACTAAAACAAACTACACGTAAACCGAGCTTTGAAAATGTAGCAGTGAAAATTACCGGCAGCCGCAGTCGCATCCGGAAGAGATGAACCAAGATTTGACATATTGGCGTTGCTTTCTTCTGGCTATGCGACAAGACGAAGATCGTCGAAAATTGAAAGCGAAGGAGGAAGTGAGAGAACCGCGCGACTGCGTTCGGTGTTACTTCAGACTGTGATTCAGATATTTCAGTGTTGAGGAAATGGACAATTTCACTGACAGAACGCTGTTAAGAGAGCGTAATTGATTGGCGGGGGAGCCAATTGTTAGGCCACTGAGACGGCGTCGTCTAGTGGTTTTAGGTTCCCATTTCAGCGGAATCGAACCTTTCGAAGACAACAACAAAAACGACGCGTTGCATCTTCCAATACAGTCCCGTTGAAACCATGCCGGCGAAACAAGAGAATGTGGGGCCTACGTCAGGCTCTTTTTTTTTTTCCTCCAGAGATTTGAATTCAATTAAAGATAGTGTAATACTTTATTTTTAAATTAATATTTTTTTTAAACGATTTTTAAAATATATAATTGATATTATAAAACTAATAACAAAAATAACAAACATATGAAAGTTCTCTATTGAACTGTGTTGAATGGATTTACAAATATTCTCTAAAACCAAACCTCATGATCTTCTAATAGGGCAGAGGTATCTTAACCAACCAACTTTCTTCATTTATATAAAAATGGTGCTCTCAGAATGAACAAATAAAATATTGTGAGCCAAAACGAAAGGGCCCATTTCTCAAATCACCATCCACATAAGTTACAAATTCAACTGGTGGAAAAAAAAGTTCAAACTAACAGCTATTGCAATTATTGCTGCAACTTTGATTTCAAAGCTTCAATGACAGCTGAAAAATCCTGATCACTAAGTCCATGAGATTTGGCTACCTTGTACAGTTCATTTGCAGCAGCAGCAATAGGTGTGGATTGAGATACAGATTCTGCCAAACCCAGAGCAAGCCTCAGATCCTGCCAACCAATACAAGCCCTCTTTAGAAAACAAAAGACTTGTAATGTCTGGAGACATTATTTATTATTTATTTTTACAACCCAAAGTCGGAGCTTGTTCCCCCATACCGAAGTCCTGCCCAAGGTCTTGGACTCGGAGACATCAAAAATTTTTCTTATTGAGCTCACCCAAAGATTTGAACATGCAACCTCCATATAGGTGTTATTCAGCATACTCTTGCCAACAGGGCAGCTACTTGGAAGCGTGTTTTGGAGACATTATTTAACAAGAACAAGATACCAACCTTCTGCTGATGTTTCAAGGGAAAGGCAGTGGGGTAATACGATTTGATCATTGATGGACCTTTGGTTGAGTACATTGGTGCACTAATGGCACCCTGAGAAACTACCTGCAATTTCACAGTGTACGGAGATTATTCCCGACCCATCGCCAGGGAGCCGTCTTTATCGCCCATGATAGGCCAAAAGTCACAGTGGAAGTGTTTTTTAACAGTAGTATATTCACATGAAGAATGGAACAAAATGCATGATCTTGATCAAATACCTCTATGAGGACGCTTGGGTCGAGTCCTACTTTTTCGCTGAGAAGCATTCCTTCAGAAAAAGCTGCCATCATGCTATGAGTATTTGGAAAAAAAGAACAAGAAAACAAAAGATCAATTGTCAAGAATCAAGATATTAGTTAGAAGTTGTCGAGCAATTGTCAAGATTGATAGTAAAATTTGGGCCAAACCTTCCCATGATCATGTTGACTACTAGTTTCATGGCAGCTCCATTTCCAACATCACCAAGATAAAATCTCGACTGCAGTATATATACAAATAGAAATGGTTAAATTTATATCATCATGCTTGATTCTTTCGTATATGGTGAAAAAAGGCTTTATAACTATACCTTTCCCATGATGTCCAGAAATGGAGCAACTGTTTCATACAGAGATTTGTCACCTGAATATGCAGCTACTACATCAAAACTGTAATCCTCCTATAATAGGATAATAAAACACTAGCTCTGAGGGATAAAGAAAGATCCTATGATACAGAAAACAAAAAGAAAAACATCATAAGAAATTTAAGGGACAATCCCATAATTTAAACAACTCAACTTTAACAATTCTATATCCTCAAAAAGGGAAAACAATTATAAAACATCACCATCGCAATTTATAATTCAAGTGACTAAGTGGCACTCCCTTTAACATATGGAATACAGCAAAGAAAACAAGAAAATCTCTGACCTGCAGTAAGAAATATCAGCTGTCCATCCTCTGCTGGCTTTTTGGAACCCGAAACAGGAGCCTAGAAAGAAATTCCAAGAGCTGAGTTAAAATTTCACTCGTTACTCTAATCATGTCTGCAAATATCCTTACAAAATGAATTGCTCTTTACATGCAACATTATTGTCATTTTATGATCGAATATTGAACCATCCAACCTCCAAAAACAAAGCTCCGGTATCTTTTATACGTGCACTGATCAACTTGGAGGTAGCATCATCAACTGTTGAGACATCCACATACCTGCCATAGGCGACGGATGAAACTATACTTTATGAATGAAACTTAAACTAAATGATGATAATATATACATGCACATAAGGAAGGAACATTTTTTTCCAGAACAGTAAATGATGTCTGAAGAAGAAAATTGGATTTTGATGTTAACTAGAGTTCCTATAAATGTTTATCAATTTGTATTTCTATTGCTTGTTTTGTGCACTCAATTTCGCACATCCTTTTGAAGATTTTTGGCATGTGTCTGAGACGTAATTGATCGCATTACTCATGATGCAGGACGGATCACATGCCATGTTGGGAGAGGAGATTTTTTGCTATTCAATGGAACATCTCACTTGAGAGCAAAAAGGAGAATTTTTAGAGAAGCTAAGAACCATTGAGCAAAGCGAAGTGTAGTTTATGACTAGGTTTTATGCCCTTCTTTGAGTATCGGTTCTAAGGATCTTTCTAACCAACCTTGGACTCTTATTCTCAATAACTTGCGTTTTTTTTTCTTTTAATCTCTATTTGTTCTCTTTGTAAGGCTCCTTTTGCTGTGGGTTTTTCTTCTGTTTTGTATGACTCATTAGTGCTCCTTCATTTAACTTCACAGAGTTTGGTTTTCCATCCGGAGAGATTTTGAGGATCAATTAAGTCTTCTATGTGTATACAACTTTGTGGTCCTAGAATTGTTGCAATCATAAAATAAAACTTAGCAAAAGGTCATATTGTAAACAATAAAAAGTGATACCCCTTTCCCAGAGCCATGCCACTTGCAGCTCCATTTTCAGCGCAAGCAACATCCAGCTGGAAAAGAGTACAAATTTTGCTTAAAATTGAGACATCTGTACGATTTAAATACTAAAAATGTAACATACTCACTGCACTCTTAGGATCAGCAAGCATTGCAAATGTGATATCACAAGATGCTGCCACTTCCTGAGGAGAAGACTGGTATCTGTATAATCCGATTWGATTGAATATTGATGGGAAATTTTCACATCATTTTCCACTAAGTAAGAATATAATAAATAAGAATTGGTCTCACACCAAGGACATCAGAAACTTACTTCGCACCCAAATTGATGAGAGGATCACATTTGCTCCTGGTTCTATTCCAAACAGTCACATCACAACTGCCATAAACCAGTAAAGGAAATCACTTATAATATAAACAATAAGCCTCTTCAAAGAACTGTTTGATAAACAGGTAGTAGGATAGTAGCAACAGAAACAGCTAGATTAAAACAGATGAAAACTAATAAGGCATAAGTTAATCAAAACTCAATAACGTTTCAAAATTTCGTCAGAAAATATATGGTCGTGATTCTAAGTCAAATTTCATTTAACATAATCAGCATTAATTTTTCAACTTAGACTTACAAATTCAAACAGCTATAGACGACCATTGGTAATGAAAAACTAATCAAGTAATACCCTAGTACCCAGATTTTATAAGATTTTGTGCCATTGGTGCACCCATGATTCCAAGCCCAAGGAAGCCGACACGCAGGTCTTCTGTAAATACAAAAACAACCTTGTGTTAATAGAATAGCAAATGGTTCACATAGAAAATATGAGGTATTACCAAAAGTTCATACGAAAGCCATATGCTAACTAGTATAGTAAGCCAACAGGATGATCTAGATGATAACAGTGCACTCAACTGTAGCCACTTTATTGGAAATGCGTTTCATGGATAATCTAAATAAGAAGAAATAAAATTATTAAACCAGACTAAATCAAGAATTCTATAGCCTTTTTTAAAAAGGCACTTATTTGATTCTGAAGTTACATGTGAGACTCCATGAAGAAACACAAGGGTGGTGTCTAGCAAAATGAAATTGTCACTTCTGATATATAGCTTTTCTGATAACTCATTTAATTCTGAATTTACATTTGAGAATCCATGAAGTAACACAAAGATTGTCTCTAGAAGGGGAAAGAAATGGTCAAAACTTATTTGATTTCGAAGTTACACTCGACTTGTGAATAATGAAATAACACAGGATTGTCTAATAGGTAATAAACAAAAGAAAATGCATTCAAATCTAATTGCTGAGTTCAAAAAATGGTTATAAATATAATGACAATTTAAAACATCCAACTCCAAGCACAAACCAACTTTATATTATCTTCTCATAATTTCTACAAAATTTCAAATATCTATATCTCCAATAGCTACAGCTTTTTTTCCCCTCAATGAACTCCTATCTCTAACCTCTCTCAAGAAAACCCGAGGATTCAACCCAATTTCTTGCGTAAAAATGCAGAATCCAAACCAACGTGCTCAAAATTGCAAACAGGTACAAGTATTAATCTACGAAATACCAAAAAGATTGATCATATTATTACCTTTACCAGAAGAAGCAATGGATGCTTGAGAAGCGAAAGCCTTGAAAGACAGAGTGAACGGCGATTTCGCGGGGGAGTAGAAAATGGGTCTAGTTCCGAATTGGCATGGAAGCTGAGGGCAAAAGCTCGAGGACATTGCCATGGCGGTTGAAGATAGATGCTGACTGTAGCTGGGTCTGACCAAGAATTTCATGGGGCCACCCACTGCTCCTGGATAATTCGATGGCAGGGAAGAATCGCGCTCTTGTAGGTGAAATTTTTGGAGCGTTTTCGAGGATAAAGAGATGAAATGGTGGGCATGGAGCCGCTATCTGTCCATGACACGCCGTCCGTTCGTGGATTATCAGTCACTCCCACTGAAGCACTTATATGGAAGATTCTTTATTTTGCTATAGATGGAATGATGCCATTACGTATTAAAGTTAATTGTTTATTTAAAATAATTAAAAAAAAAAATTAGTAGGAGATTTTAAGATTTTCCCAAAAATGTTGAAAAATGATTTCAATTTTATAAAAAAATGTTGATAAAAATAATAAATAGTATCCATGGATATTTCTATAAAAAAAAGTTATCTAACCCTTCTGACCTTCGTTCTCATCTATTGTTTCTCATTTTCAGTATTTTARAAATATAAGTGTTTCTGTGACCGATCCTAAATTGTGTAAAAAATTTTAGAAACAATAAAATCAAAAATTTTAATATTATTTCTAGTTTTTTTTTCTAAAATATAGATAAAAGTATCATTTTTTATTTTTAAAATGCATAAGAAATATCAAAGAATAAATATAACATAAAAATTTGAATATTTAAGTTGAAATTTAAATTTCAAATAAAACTGATTTTTTTTTAATAAGAGACATGAGATATATGGAGAGATATAAAACTGCTTTTTGATTTCAGAGAACAACAAGCAAAAGATAATTACCAAATATGTTTTTATTTTCTTTTCTCAATTAAGGGAAAAAAAAAGAAACAAAAAACGGTTATCAAGTGTAGAAACAAACTCTTTATATCTTACGTCGTCGTCATGAACTATAACTTTTAATGTATATGAACTTTTGCCCTTTTTATCATGGCAGTTGTACTCTCGCACTCCAGTTCAAGTACAAATTGAAAGACTTAGACTTAGAAAATATGTTTAACGATATCCATTTTAAAAGAAAAAAGAAAAAATTTCTCAAAAAAAAAAATAATGAAAAAATAAAAATTATAATGGAAAATAAGTAAATAAATAAAAATTCTACTCACATTTCATATGTATTTGTCAAAATACCTTTAAAATTTTAGGTGCTGTTTGGTAGTGTTGCAGAAAATTATTATCAACTTTTCAAGATGAATATTATTCGTTTGAGTTCGATTTCAAGAGTGTTTCCTAGGAAAGGTCTGTAACTTGGGCTTGATTCACTTTTCGTATTTAGACAAAAGTTAATAGCAATTATTTCAATGAAGCACTCCTAAAGTTTGTGAAATAATGGATTCAAACCAGTCAAAAAAGATGGCCAAACACATACAGAATCTCTAAATAAAAGGTCACTCAAATGCTTCTAATCATAATTATGGTTCAAGCCAGAAAATGCAATTTCCATGCCCCAAAAGATTAAATAATTGCTCTTCCTCCTCTGCAATAAAAAGGAAAAAAGGGAAAGATTACGATTTTAAAATCACATTTTTCATAGGGTCCTCCTTATCTCTTCCTACTCTGAGCTTGCGTTATGGAAGATGGAACCAAGAAGAAAGTATCAGATGTCGTGCATTCAAACACGGAAACGTGGAGGGCCAAAAGGCTATTCATATTTATACACATTCATTCTAAATGAACTACAAGAATATGATGTTTAGATCGTTATCTAGGGGTTTAAGTAGAACGTTTAAGAAGCCAACAGATTTAGGAAGCCTGAGTTTCAAAAAAACTGTGTAAGAGTGAGTTAGGAAGTGTAGGTTTAGAGTACGGTTGAAACTTATGGGTTTCACGTCCAACAAACTCCTGGCTCGAAAAATCTATGGGATAAACATGGGTTCTACATCTTAAGTCAAATTCATTAAAACTCAAACCCAAACCCAAACCGTCACCGCAAGTCACCCACTTGCTCAAGCTTCTGGGTCTAATGATAATCTAAAACCACCAATATGCCTTTCCATACAACTCTAATATGTCATACTCGAATCAAGAGATTAAATGACATTAGTACGACTGCCGATCGAGATTATGTCCACGGGCTACTGAGTTCAGTACAAGGATGATGATAGACTACAGGTATTGCAGGCTCATGAGTAACACATCATAAAAGCAAAATGAAATTATTCTAAAGAATTCCTCGCGGCCTCCATATCCATAACAAGGGAATGATCCAGTCTTTCTCACCATTTCCTAAAGAATAATGCACATAGTGGAAGCTAAGAAAAAGAATCCAAACAACAGCAAGAGCCCTCAAATCTAGGGGAAACAACAAGAATTCAGATAATGGAAGTTTAGGAAAGAAGTCTGTAAAGGATATGAGATGCTCAACATTAGAACAAGTGACAAAAAGAAGATCACGGATGGATTTCCAATATATCAACATCGAAAATTAATCAATCCATCGAAAAACCCAAAGATGATTTTCAAAATATAATTTGAACTAAAACATAAAACTGACTCTTCTTCTATATTTCACAAGATTATGACACTAACAATGAAAGTACTATACAAAGACAAACCTGCCCAGAACAAGCCTAAAGTTAGCAGCAGCCAAGCGAAGCTATTCGCTCCATCAATCTTCATCCTCATCATCGTCGTCCGAAAATTCTTCTTCTTCATCTTCGTCCATCTGTTCTTCGTTGTCTACTTCATCATCTACAATAAAACCTCCTAAAGTTTCATCATCTTCATCTTCTTCATCATAGTCTTTGTTAGAATTAGCAGCTTTATTTTGATCCTTGTTAGTTTTATTGTGATCCTTTGATCTCGTGGAGTATTTGGGTCTTTGAACCTTTTTTGCTTTTGCAATCATTTCCACAGCATCTTCATTCTCATCTGTCCAATCTTCATCGTCACTGTTTGCTCCTTTTTTTCTCTTCCCCCTTACTCCTCTCCTCTTTCTCCTCCCATAATCTTCATCATCATCGCTTCCTTTTCTCGGCTCATCCAGAAACCAGTCCCACTTTTTTGCATCACGAATCACTCGATTGCCATAGCATTCAAACTCGTGCCCCATAACAAGAAAACCAAATTCTGACAAGGGAACAGTAAGCACAATCAGTATGATAGATTTGCAATTTGGAACTTCTAAACAATTTTCTCGTTTGTTCTTTTTAGTAACTGCTAATTTTACTTTTCATTATCAAAATCCAACGCTTAATTTGTAAACAATCTGAAAAGTGATGGTTAGTTTATTTTCCTACAATTTTTCTCGGAAAATCAAGATAGGTTTTCGGGAGCAAACCTTTGACAGGATCAATGCCAGAAACATCGATATCCTCCGAATCAGAAGAACGCGTCAACCTCTCAGCAAATTGATCCTCGGTCTTCGGAACAATTCGCTTCCCTTCTTCGATTTCAGCGATTTTGTTTAATTTGAACCAAGTCGGTTCCTGCCCGCCCACGCAGAACGATTCACCAGGCGCAATCTCGCCCTTTTCCGACCTTCTAAATGTTCTGATTTCGCCATTTTTGCCGCTCCGAACCCAAATAGGGTTTCTCCCAATAACCTCGAAGGAAATCCAAGGCTCCACGGGAGCTCCATCACAGTTCTCTGAGGTTTTAGCTTCGATTAAAAGGTGACGACGAGATACTGTCCGATCTTTGGAAGCAAATCCTGAGCCTCTCCCGAATATCGTCACTGGCTCACCTACAACTAACTTTGAACCGTCTTCGCCGGCTATCTCCATTGATTGAACGGCCCGCTTCGAAATTTTTGGAAGCTGAAATTTCGGAAACGCTCTGTTATTTGCACCGCCGTCGCCGAGCGAGCGGTGTCTTCGGCTCGAAGCTTCAGTTCATTTCCGACATGTAGCTAGTCTACAGTTGTACACCGTAGTGAAAGCATGACGACATGTCGTTTGAAAGCTCTACTACAAACCATAGTCCTAAATATACGTCGATATATCGATATTTCTATAGATTTGACAACGATATGAGAGATGAATCGATATTCCCATTATAATACAAGAAAATCAACAAAATATAACTAATATATACATAAAATTAATTATAATTATGTTTAACTAATTTAGAAATAGGAAAATGTTTATTTATTAATTTAAATATTTTTTTTACCATTGATATTCATAATTTTTACAAAAATATCAATCGACATCGACATTTTACCGATATTTCCATAAAATTGAGACCTTGATATTTTCATTAACGTCGACCTTTAAAACATTGATACAAACACGCATACAAAGTATCTTTATCTTTTCTTCTTTTCTTTTTTCTTTTCTTTAAACATATTTTATATGATAAAATATGAGAATTTGAACTCGAGGGACGGTCACTTGATTTTTTGCCAACTTTTAAAAAATTACCAAATTGCACTTCTTTATCTTCGAAAATACGAAAATCAATTTTAGCTTCCCTCCTCTTTCCCCTCTCTATCCTTGGTCTTTTCTTTCTACTTCCAAATAATGTTCTTATTCACAAAATTTATGCTTCTTCCCTCTCTCTCCTCTTTCTCTCTTTAAAAAAATCTTCCTCCTCACAAAATTCATTGGTGACGAGCAACGGTTCTATATAGTGGCATGATTCGTCCACCGATTCTCCAACCAATATAGATTCGTTCATGAAGTCGGTAGGTTGCTACCATTGTTAGAGCTTGCTCCTTTTTTTCTAATTTCAATTTTATGAGATGAATTGAACTATATTTGGTTCTGAAAATATGAAGACATGTATATGTTTTATTTTCTTTTTCTTTTTTTGGATCGACCAACTCTGCCTTCTTCGATGATGGACTCAAAGACTCACGTTCAAAATCTACGATTTCTCTCTTCGACGACGAACTCAGACGGTGTGGATGGGAAGAAGTTTTGTTACTTGTATTTTTTTCCAACAAGATGGACAAGAAAAGAGACAGAGTGAGAGAAAAGAAAGTGGGAAAACAGGGAGAACGAGAATGAGAGTGACAGCAAGAAAAACAAAGATAGAGAGAGCAAAGACGAGAGAGGGAGCGAAAATGAGAAATTTTCTAAGGGAATCTTTTTGTTAGCATCCATATATATGAATTAAATTTATCCTTAAGATGGTATTAGAACGGGAGGTCTTAAATTATTTTTTTTATCTTCACCGATGACAAGAATATGAAAAGGGGATATCAACTTCAGCGAGACACCATAGTCATATTTACTATGCATAGATTTTTCATTCTCTAACTTATTTCTTCCATTTCCTAACTTTTTAAAAAACATAAAATTAAAATGGTTTGGTTGTTTTCAATTTTCTAAAAATAAAAGAATAGTTATTTTTGTTTTTAAAAAACATAAAACAAGACAATAAAAAAACTAAAAACATAAACGGTTATAAACGGCCTCCTAAATTTGGTTTCAATATACCTTTTCGATAGGTTATTTTTTGTTTACACTTTTGACCTTTTGCACTGTCGGTGACCCAACTTAAATCAATTTATATTTTATTATTTTAAATAAAATATATTTTAGTTGCTTGCAGTTGCACTGCATAAAAATACATAAAAGAATTGTCTATAATGTCTTCGGTACAATTATATTACTGGAGACAATAAAATTATAGAGTATATAAATATAATTGTTGAACATGGTTCAATAATTACTAGAACATGCTATTAAACATAATTCATCAAATAATGGAAAAATAATACTTCTTACAAAATTTTGTATAAAATTTGTCCATCCATAAAATTACGGTTTTGTTGTCCTCGAAACCTTAAAAAGTAAGGAAACGTGGCCAAAGCCAAATTTAAAGAAACTATTTGTAAACTATATTCATATTGAAAAAAAAAATAATTGGAAGTCAATTATTGAATCAAGGCTTCAGGCAATGGACGGAAAACTTACCAATTATTGAATGTCAGTATTATTTCTAGCCATATATTTAATTTTTACCACATTTTTAAAGTGGTTAAAATTCTAACTTCCAATTTTTATAAATCGATTATATATGTCTATGTTGAAGTTGGCCACCTAAATTTCTAACTGAACTGGTAGTTTTTTTTTTTTTTGTTTCACCCTATAAACTATTTTATAAAATTTAATTTATATATTTTGATGAAATTACGAGTTGGGATATTTAAACTTTTAAGGGTTGTCTTATCGATTATAAGCGTATAACAAGTTCTAAATTTGTAGGCCTCATTTGATTTTAGTTTTCATTTTCAAAATTTATGTCCACTCCGTTTTGGTTTCTTTCTTAAGCATGTATTTTACCACTTATAAAAACATTTGAAACTAGCCATTAGTCAATCTAAACATGACTTAATTAGTTAAGTAGTTAAAGCATTTACTCCCAACTAAAATGTTATGAGTTCGACCTACGATCTTTTAGCCATGAATATATACCTAATCACTACTTATGTTTACACTTTTGAAATATGTTATATATCTTATTATTAATATAAATTCATATTGGTGACTAATGGATGATATTTTTTATGTTTCATAAATATTTATACGATATATTGGAGGTGATTTCTCACCCGTCATGTGCCAACATTTGATGGCGCGACCATACTACAGTGAATCAAGATAATGAATCACGGTAAAGAAGAACAATAGCTTGGACCTCTCATAAGGCTGAGTGATATGTCGCAAACTTAAAAGTTATATTTCAGGTCAAACTGACTTATATCTCTTACCTCGGTCGCTTGAGTTAACAGTCGAGTCAAACGATCATAGCATCTATAGGCTCAAACATCCAATAGAATCTCAAACAACACAACAAAATTCTTGGAGTTGTCAAAGAGCAGTTGAAGGTTTGTCGAAAGTCTTCTCAGAAGTCTAATAAATAGAGATATTCCACCTCATTTTCAGGTACGTGAAACTATATTATCTCAAAGTATAGATCATACAAACACTTGATCTAACGAAGACTGTGGATCAATACTACTGTAAGATCTTGTAATTATGTCATATTTCCTAATCATGATTCGATTGCAATAAGGTTGGATTGTTCCTACATCCTTTGGGTTTTTTAAACAGTGCCTTTTATTTGGTAGGTAACATCGATGAAGCTACTGCGAAAGCTACAAACTTAGAAATGGAGAGCAAATTAAAGAAGACCTGAAATTGTGGGAATATTTCTTTGGCCCCTCTTTCAAAATACACTTTCTATAAGGTGATCCAGCAAACTTCAAGGATTGAGAACTACGACCATTACAGGTTATTCAAGAAACTGAAAGGATAATGGACAGAACTATACTAGAGTCAGACAGCATCAAAAGTAGAAAATATGAATATGATTATTCCTAGCTTTCGGATTACTGTAAATGCTAAAATCCCATCAGATTTCCTCAAAAATTAAAGAATTTTATACACACAATGTTACACCATCATCTTTTCTTGAAAGCTGTAGAAGCCGTTGAGAATTTGGAATGCCTTTTTAGGACGGGCAAGGTCCATGAGAGAGGTTTTCCTATTATCCGCCGCTAGAATCAATCGATAATGGAGCAACATGCTATGTTTTCTCCCACATTGCTAGTAGGTAGATGGGTCGCACACTCGACACACATGTTTTGGCCTTGTGTGTCCATAACTCAAAATAGGCGACCTAACGGCCGCCGCCCGACTAAACATACTAATAGTCACCATATTCATATGGGCTATTGAGGAGTAAGCAATGAGCGCAAGAGTGGTAAAGAAAATATATATTATATCAATCACGATTCCCCTCATCTTTTTGCAAAAAGCCGCTCCATGATGGTAAAGTCTCCTCTTGCGCTTCTTCTGTTTTGCAGGTCCCTCGATCATTCATTAGCTCATTAGTTCGACCTTCGTACTATTGATCATTTTCAGGATCAAACACGATATATGAGAAAAATATCAATGTCGAATCCTCTAATGTACGATATACCAATATGTTGATGGATATTTTAATCTTTGATGGAAGTCTAATGTTTGTTYAATAGGTTTATAATTTTTTTTTTTTATAATTCCAAGAACCTTGTTATTTATTTATTTTACTCGTGAGATAGAAATATTAAAATTTCTGGAGTATGGGCTTTGACACGTGCGATGTCCCCTTTCTCTCCGGAGTCTTGAAACCTTGATTGCATTTTTGTTTGGATTCGGGATATATGCGGCAACGGAACGGGATAAGAATATCCCCGTTCCTCGTCCGGGCCAACGTGTTCGCCACACACTTTCAGTTTCACAATCGGGGCCCACCATCTGCTTAAATAACATTACAGTCAGATGAGGAATCGACTTGGCCAACTCATTCACACAACTTCTTTTTTTTCTTTTTTCCAATTTCATATGTTTGKTTTTTTCAAAAGAGACGGTCCAAAAAACGGCGAAAAGTTAGAAATTTAGCCGATGATTAGTCTCCTAATTGCTCTCGTTCTCATCCCATTCATATTAAAGTCGTACTTTGAATTTAAATTTCAAATTATATTTTTTTAAACAATAAATTTCATATTACTTGATTAATCGCGTTAAAAATTTGTTAATCCAAACATAGTTTAATAGATAAAATATATATTGTCATCTCAAAATTTATGATTCAATTTCTACTCCTATAAATATTGAACTAGAAAAATTGTAGTTTAACTCCAACGACCGAACGAGCCTAACATTTCAATCATGCATATTTTTGTGTTCATATTTGATAACACGTTTTAAATATGAATGTGATATTTTTTTTAGTTCAAYCAATGGATTAGGAGAAATCAAACCTTAAACTTTATTTTATTACTTTGATAATTTAAACTTTAATATTAAGATAATAGCAAAGTCATGGTTCAATTATGATAAACTTAATATTTTTTTTTATATTTGTCATTACCTACTATCTTGGATGTTAACCCCCATAAATTACAAATTTCCAAACAAATCTAAATGAATTAATTCTTATAATGGACAATATGAGTACAATTCAACTAGTTAAGGCATAAACATATAACTCCGATCAAAAAATTGTGAATTTCAATCATCACTTCACATCTTGTTATACTAAAAACCACGTTCTTATATTTGGTAGTAAATTAGTTGGTGTTATTTAACATGACAACAAACTCACCTCTTATAATTTAGATATACAAATATTTATATTTGATCAATTCGAGCACAGTTGAGTAAATAAGAAACCAAATAAGGATGATGGTTCGATTCTCCACTCTAATGATCCAACCAAAGTGCTGAACTCATGTATATATAGTTCAANATATATATATATATATATATATATATATAAATAATGTGTAACTTTTTTATATTAAAATGGCCATTGTTTTTATTTCATCTGTAATTTTTTTAACAGGTTAAGATGATGTCAACTTATATTGATATTTTAATTTCACCATGAAAACTCCATTTATATTTATTTATCTTAGCGATCATGTATAAATATCATATACAATTGTAAAGTGGACTTTTTTTTTTCTTTTAACAAATCATATTATTAAATTTTTTATATTCGTTTTTAAATAATTAGTTTTTCTTTACAATAATAAAAATATGCCATTGTAAAGTTGGGCAAGTAACCAATAATATATTATAAATACAAACAAATAAGTCTTACTTATAAACAAAGACATAAATATAATGGAAATGTCTCACCTAATAATAAATAATAAATTTTTTTATATATAATTTGAACTTAACTCAACTAATTTAGGTATCTATTTCTCACCAAGAGGTCCTAAGTTGAAATCATCGTCTACTCAGTGTTGAAAAGGAAAAAAAAATAATAATATTTTTCACTTAAATTATATTTATAATAAATAATACATGATGTAGAAATAAAGAATAGGAGATACATATACAACTTACAAAATTAATTCATACTTTTTTTAGATTACTTTTCAAATAATTACATTACATGAATATATGATTGCATGATGAAATTTGAATTTATATTCGATTAAGACAAAACAAAATGTTGAATAGTTAAAATACAAAATATGAATACGAGATTCATTTAAAAMATTTTATAATTCAGTAACGAGGGGATTTCAATATTGAAAGTATGAACAGCTAATCAATGTATTGATCAATTAAGTTATGTCTATACCTTAGCAACTAGCAAATTTTAATAAAAAAATTAAGACAAGAATACATGGTTAAAAATTAATGATTTTTTTAGATAAAAAAAATGGATCTTTGCCAATATGAATCTAGCTCTACGGTAACTAACATCTACCTCTGACCAAGAGGTAATGTATAGGATTCCATTCGTCCCATAGTTGGGAACTAATGATTGGTTCTGTCTACAAAGATTTTGGATTTTCTCATAACGATGAAATTATATCGGGTCTTGTTTCCACTTTTCCAGTCATTTTTGACACAATTTTTAAGAGTTCGATTCCTCCATTCCACTCGTACTCAAAAAGAAATAAAAAATAATGGAGAAATAAACAACCAAATAAAAAATTTAAAGAAAAAGACTATAAAATTTTGGTTATAGGAGCCTCAGTGATGTAAAGTTTACAAAGCTTGATTTAGTCTAACTAAAAAAACTTAATTTAGCCTAAAGATAATAATAATTTTCAATATTTTTTTATTTTGGTAAAATTATCTATATTGATTTCAACGAAGTACCTATAATTTTGCTAAAATTTTCAAGCTATTATTAAAGATACGTTTTGGAATAACTCTAGTATTTCGTCATTTCCTAAATCATATATATATTGTAAAAAAAAACATTACTATTTTACATAAGAGCAATTTTGAGCAATTTTGATCATGTCAAATATATAGTAATATTTTACAATGATATATGAGCGATTTTTTTCAAAAAAATACATGTCATAAATGCAATATTTTTCTTATTTGATGTACAACATGTATTTTCAAAATCAAAATGTAATTTAATATAATGTTAACTTAATAGGTTAAAATACCTATCTCAATCCTAAGATAGGAATTTGAATTTCTACCCATATATTACTTATTAAAAAATAGAAAAATAATGTCAGGGGTACAAGAAAAATGTGTCAAACAAGAAATTAAATTAAATTAAACCTTGAATTGAAATGGTAATTTAAGATATTATTTTTCTTATGCTAAAAAGCGATTAAAAAAAAAGAAAAAAAGGTGAAGTTTTCGCTTTTCATTACGGAAACAGAAAAGTGGAAAATGTACCGAAAACCTGCTACCATTAATTACTGTTGTTTCTTCTTCACCATTTTGGATGACGCCATAAAAACCAGTAAACTCTCTCCCTCTTCTCTCTCTCTCTCTCTCTCTCTCTCTCTACGAAAGTAACGCCGTTTGAACCGGACCACCAATCTATCTTCCCTCACCAATTTCACCGTTTTCATTTTCAGCGCTTTATTGTTGTTCCTCTTCCTTTTCTTCTGCTCATTTCCCTCTGATTTTAGGGTTCTGATTTCTGATTTCTTGCAGAGAAGCTTCTTGTTCGTCTTCTTGCATCCCCAAGAATCACCCTTCTTTTTGTTGTCCTTTTGAATTGAAGTCTATGACTTCCTCTACTTCTGTGAAGAAGAACTTCTTGCCTCCGGGCCTTGTTTCCAATCTTGAAGATGTCCTACGCAGCAGGAAGGGCGCGGGGGAACCAGGCGCTGAATCCAAGGATGCCACTGCATCCGCCGAGCCTTCCTCTCCTACTTCTGATGCCAATCTTGAGGTTTCCGGAACTCCCAAGCCCATTATTCTTGTTACTAATAGCGAAGGAATCGAGTCTCCTGGACTCACTTACCTCGTTGAAGGTCTTGTTCGAGAAGGTTCATACAACGTCCATGTCTGCGCTCCGCAATCGTGAGTTGATGTTCTTCCTCTTTTTCCATCTTTTAGTGGATTGGATTTATGTTTTGGCTACTTGAGCACTCTTTCAATATTTGTTTCTTGTTGTGGATATAACTGTCCGTTTTTGGCATTCTGTTGTGTTATTGATTATTTTCATCTGTACATGCGTGATTTCTTTACTTGATATCTTCGTCGTTGAATATCGAAAACTCGTGATTTAAATAGTTCGGGAATCTGCTGCAGGGACAAATCAGTGTCAAGTCATTCTGTGACTCTACGAGAAACGGTTGCCGTGAGTTCTGCTGAAATAAACGGTGCCACAGCCTACGAAGTTTCGGGTATGACCATCACTGCGGTTTTCCTTTAATATTATCTTTTCAACTGTCATAACTTGTCATGGATATGATCTATTTTGATTAAATTTGGGTTTTTTATATTCTCTGATTTCCCTGTGTTGTGAATTAAACTTCGTCTAATCTTTTATTTTTTGGTTTAATGTTTTTGCGCAAACAGTTTAATTCATCAGCCAGAATCATGATGTTTTCACGTCACTGGTCTATTTTAAACTTGTTTCCCATTTGGCTATTGGTTGTACACAAACATGCATCCTTGCCTGCAGGCTGCAAAATTTCAATGGCTAATTGCACTGGGTAACTCTTCCTCAGGAACACCGGTAGATTGTGTGTCATTAGCACTATCTGGAGCTCTTTTTTCCTGGTCAAAGCCTCTTCTGGTTAGAATTTATAGATTATAGCTGTGGGTTTTCTAGATCTACTTTAATTCCCAGTAATCTGTCATGATGATATATTTGGTATAAATTTCAGGTAATTAGTGGAATTAACCGGGGATCGAGCTGTGGTCATCATATGTAAGTTCTGTCTGTTATATGAAGAWGTCAGCGTAGGCCGCAATGTTTATCATTTGATCCTTGATCTGGTGCTAAATCTGCATGTTTAAATCTGCCAGGTTGTACTCAGGCGTTGTTGCTGGAGCGAGGGAGGCATTAATTTGTGGTGTACCATCTATATCAGTATCTCTGAATTGGTTGGTTGATGATGTATTTTCCACATTGAGCTTCACCGCTGCTTAGTTATTACTCTTAAAATATATTTTCCTTCATTGTATTAAACTTCAGGAAGAAGGATCAAAGCCAAGAAAATGATTTCAAGGATGCTGTTTCGGTCTGTTTGCCTTTGATAAATGCAGCTATAAATGATATAGAAAAGGGAAATTTCCCTAAAAGTTGCGCTCTCAACATTGAAATACCTACATCTCCTTTGACAAACAAGGTTTGCACTTCACTTCCTTTTACATTTTAAATTGAAAATTCTCTAACTTAGTGGAAAAATATGTTCCAAACATGTGAGTAGTTGCAATTAGGAATTTAGGATGTTATATCACCTGAATTTTGCCTCTCCCCATTGAATGATTCTTCTTTATTATCTATAGAAGAAGTGATCTCTAGAATGCATCATTCGATGTTTTAATCAAATCAACTGTAAGTTGCAGGGAAACCCTTTATTTTTTATTATAGGGAGTACTAATTGAAAGTCGGATAAAACTTATATTGACTTATGCTATGTGTAGCAAATTATGAATCTGCAATATTCAAGAAATTTTTTCCTCCCATGTCTATCAGGTTCTTGATTGTTTTATTAGTTAGTAGATATGAAGTATTGTACTTCCGTTCAAGTCTAGTCCAGGAATGACTATAGTTGGTATTCAATTCTAAGTTACCTGCAATCTGTTGCACTTCGTATTAACACCTGTTGTTCCTCTCTAACTAGTTGGTATATTTTTCTCCTTAAGTCCTCACCTATTTTAATAGCTTGAAAAGGTAATGGCTAATTGGTTACTGCTTCAGTTATTGTCAAAGTTACAGCTTTCAGTCACACAATCCTGAATTTGTTGTTCCTAAGTAGTCAACCTGCAATATGGGCCTCGTGTATTAACTCGGGATATCATTCTAGCCTCTAGGAATATTTTTCCAAATCTTTTCTTTTGCCCAATTTAAAATTGTTATTATTTATAAAATATTTATCCAGTTTTTGGTTAAAATAAATTATCTATGTATCTTTTTTAGAAAAACGAAGAGTTTGTTTTGCTATTATTATTCTCTGTTTATCAGGATGTAATTTCTCGCTATTCTTGGTCAGTATAGTTGACATTTTTTGACAGGGATTTAAATCAACAAAGAGAAGTCTGTGGAGATCTACTCTGAACTGGCAGGCTGTATCGGCCAGCAGGTATTCTGCTGGACATTTTATGTCCAATCAGCAAAGTCTTGGTCTTCAGCTTGCACAACTTGGTCGAGATGCCTCTGCTGCTGTGAGTAGCTTCAAAAAATTATGATGCGTCTTCACATTCGTTAATTCTTTATAAGTGGAGTTGTTGGTCAAGTACTTCTTAACATCTTGTCTTAATAAGTTATACTCTTGAAAAGGAAGGATCTCTGTGCATTCTCTGTTTTTGTGGTTTAGAATAACAAATTTCATTTTTCATTAGGGAGCTGCTCGCCGCTTAACAACACAACGGCAGAATATCGTGGAAATTGAGTCAACTGGAGCAGTGGGAAAATCTGATTCTGAGCGGGTGAAGAAGTTCTTCCGAATGGAGGTATTGACTGTAAAATGACTCTTGGATTCAGCTTGGAGAATGCTTTTAACTTCTAGAATTGTGCCCACCTGTTGGAATAGGTGAATGGCGTTGATCACATTCAAACTGTGGTTGTGCTGTGCGCATGCTCATGTGCTGTTTCTGCATTTCTATTTACCTCTAAACTATTTATAACTTTCGGCTGTTTATGATTTTTTGCCGTTCGTCCATTCGTCCCATAGTACACCACGAGGAAACTCATTTATTTCACGTGCAGTTTCTGGATAAGGAGCAGGATAACAAGAAGGACGATGATCTGGATTTTAGAGCCCTTGAAAATGGATTTGTAAGTTGATTGACCTTCATCTTGAATGATCTATTTTGTTTCCCTTTTCTTTCCAGTACAAGCCCCTTTTTTTTGTCCCAAACGATAAAGTCATGATTGAATAAGTTTCTGAGTGGTCCTTTGTTTTTTGGTTTTTCTTTTTTCGACGAGAACAGGTCGCAGTAACCCCTCTTTCCCTCACCCCCAACATTGATCTGGACATCCAAACAGCTGCCTCTGATTGGATCTCCACTGCACTTCATCCGGCGGCGCAATAAGTCGGACAGTCCCTTTCCGGCGGCAATGATTTGTGTACATCTAGAGTTCGGCTCACTACCCTAAATTTTTTTGTTCTTCTTTTGTGGGTTTCACATTCTGCTCATTCTGGTTTACGGCTTTCATTCTCCATTGATATTCCCTGCCCCCACGTTCTCAATATATATATATATATATTTTGTAGTCTTGTTAGTTGTTCCCTATTGATTCATGTAGTTAGTAAAAGTACTTGCTTGCTGCAATCTGTTTGGCATGTTTTATAAAATGCCAGTTTGTAAACTGCAAGTGGAAATTTGTGGTCTGGATTGATTCTGTTTCATTTCATCTCCTACATCTTCTGCAGTTTCTCAGAATCACTTTTTTTTTTTGCCTTTACTGCTTTCTCACCCATGGTTAGAGTGGATAAATGATGAGAATTTTAAGGAATTGTTATTGTTATTACTATTTTGAGAATATTACATTATACATTTTTGTGGGAAGTAATTTGAACCTTGAACTAGCTCTACAAACAGTTACTTTTCGTAGTAGTTTTGAGGAATGGCATTTATCTCGGAGATCGGATTTGAATGAATTATTATTATTTTTTTTAGTACAATGGATTTGAATGAAATTGTTACACGACATTTGGTATAATATCATGGTTATGTCCTTTTGTTAACATGATTTTTATTTGAAGTGTAATGCCATGGTATAAATTATTATCTCGTCACATTTAATACTAGGAAAGGTGCGGCTATTTCTAGGATTTTTTTYCCCATCACATCGTCAAATGGGTCCTTTCCTTCCTTGACAAGGACTGCAATTTCCAGGAATTATATACGTGGATATTGACTTATAAAGAAAAATACACGGATTAAAAAAATAATCTAAAATGATTGCTGGGTTTAGTTAGTTTAATTTTCAGCTGTCATTTTTCTAAAATATAATTATTTTTAAATATAAATTTTTATATTATAATTCAAATATAGGAGATATAGTCAAGTTATGTTGGATTTAATATTTTAAATATAAGATAAATCTATTTTTTTAACTATAAGTCATCCCCCAAYCTCTATATTTTYACTAAATTAACGATGTAATATTTGTACACATGAGATTCATTYTATTTCACTAGATTAGATTGTTATAAATTTTAAACTATAAAAATTATGTCGTGAGAAAGTACAAGTGAGATTYTTTAAACTTCAAAAAATTTTTAATACCTTTGAATTTCAAATTATGAGACTAAATCATTAAAAGTAGATTATATTTAATAGAGACTGTGAGACTAAATCATTAAAAGTAGATTATATTTAATAGCTCTCATATTTTTAAAAGTATCTAATTGATCCTTTAACTTTTAATTTAACGGATATATTTATTAGTTAAAAAGTTCRTAGATCTATTATAAAAGCGATACCTATTATATACAAAATTAAAAATTTAAGAATTTATAAGACATTTTTTAAAGTTGAAGGGTTTGTTAGATACAAATCTGAAAGTTTAAGCTTTGATAATTCTTTCATTTTTCATTTTTTGCTTTTTAAATTTAGGTTGGTTTGCTCACAATTCCTTTGGGTATATATATATATATATATATATATATATTTTGTATGTTTTAATTTTTTTAACACATTGCATTTTAGTCCAATTCCAAAAAAACAAAAACAAATTCATAAAAATTATTTTTTTAGTTTTTAAATATTGGCATAGATTTTAATAACTGGTGACCAAATAAAAAAAATACCATGAAGAAGTAGTATCAATAAATTTATTTTTTTTTGTACTAAAAAAATAATTTTAAAAAATAAAAAATAAAAAATAAAAAACAAAACGGTTACCGACTAAATTTATAATGTAAGAGAGAAAAGTCAAGAGGAAACGGAAAATGGAGGCAAAAATTATAGGCTTCTTTCTAAAGTCTCAACGACTTCAAACATATCTTCGCTGACTGAGAGAGAGAAACAGAGTCTTCTCACTTCCRAATTCTAGTTCGATGATCATGGAGGAGCAGAAGCAGCAGATATTACAGCAATTCAAAGGCCAATGGCGGCTCCCCAAGTTCGCCGTTTCAAACTGCTACGATCTTCATCTCAAAACCGATCTCTCTACTTGCACTTTCTCTGGAGTCGTACAGATTACTCTCAGCATTGTCGCTGATACGAAGTTCGTCGTCTTGAATGCTCTGGAGCTCGATGTTCATGGAGTTTGTTACTGCAGCTCCAACAATCAGGTTAGTAACCGTTTGATTTTCTTCGGTTTTAACTAGGCTTGTCCTTGTATTTAACTTTTGCATTATCAATTTGCAGAAGTGTAAGCCTTCTGATGTTATTTTGGATGTGGAAGACGAGATACTTGTTCTGGTGTTTGATGATGTGCTTGGTGTTGGTGAAGGAATTTTGGAGATTGAGTTTTCTGCCTCTCAACAGTCATTTAAAGGGTTTTTATAGGTGGTGTTTGCCTCTGGGTATAATATAATCCGAGTTGAAAGAATCATCTGCGGATGTTTGATTCAAATTCAATACATGTATCTTTCAGTAATAGATTGGTCTCTTATGTCGTTTAATTCTTGGTCCAGTGCTAGAGTACACTACCAACTATGGAAATTTTTTAGATTTTTTTATAGAAGGATGGAASTGATATGAAATACTAGTTCAAACATTAGAATGAAAAATAGTTTAACCACGGAAAAGAAAGTTAGAGACTAGAGCGATAGTTTCAGTCCAAAAGATGTTTGAAGCTAAACGATGTCATTGCATATTTGCTCTTTCACAGTGCTTATGTTGATGGAGGTGTGAAGAAGAATATGGCAGTTACTCAGTTTGAAGCAGTGGATGCAAGGCGGTGTTTTCCATGTTGGGATGAACCTGCCTTGAAGGTTTCACTGTAAATTAGACATACTGTAACTCTATTTGGTCGTTGTTTTCTCTTCAATTTCAATTCAATTCTTGGTTTGAATTTTGAAGTAAGGGTGTCCTGTCTTTCAAAATTGCTTTGTCTTACCATGAGCAGGCAAGCTTCAAAATTACGTTAGATGTGCCTAAAGAGTTGATGGCACTATCCAACATGCCTGTTTTGGATGAAAAACTCAATGGGAACATTAAGACCGTTTATTTTGAGGAATCTCCACATATGTCAACCTATGTGGTGGCTTTCGTGATTGRTTTATTTCATTATATTGAAGACACCACGGCTGAAGGTCTATTATGCTGGAGGCTTTCTTTTTCCTTGTATTAATCTGAGGTTGGTTCCATTATGTTATATAAATGTTAAACTATTCATCCAGGGATAAAGGTTCGTGTATATTGTCCATTGGGTGAGAGCGAAAAAGGGAGATTTTCCCTTAATGTTGCGGTCAAGGTGCTCAATCTTTTTACTAAGTAAGGATTCTACCAACAGACATTGTTTCCTTTCCCTGTCTAGCATATGTTACCATCTAATTAGTTATACAATGCTGTTAGCAAGGATTGACAGAAGACTGACCATTCTCATTGTTTTCTCTACTCGAGAGGTAATAAATTCTACAAGAAAATGCATCAGATTTTGCCTGCCTAAAAGCTGGTTCCAACAAACTAGTTTTAAATTATATATTCTTGATTTTGGGTGTACAAGCCATCATCAGAATCCAAGGCCTATTTGGAAATCAATATAATTTTTTGCTCCACACCCCCCACCCTCCCCCGACATTTTATATAACATCTTAGTTTTTAGTGATCTTTGGTAGTAATTATAAATTTTTAGGTACTTCTCAATGAGCTATCCACTTCCTAAACTCGATATGGTTGCTGTTCCTGACTTTGGTGGTGGTGCTATGGAGAATAACGGTTTGATCATATATCGAGAAAACTTTTTGCTACATGATGACATACATTCTACTGTTGATAAGAAGCAGACTGTGAGTTTGCAGATATCTAGATACCCTTTTAGTTATTTTGGCCTAGTTGCATTCTTCATTTTTTCTAATGAAACTTTCTGCAGTTCAAAATATTAATACATTCAACTCACCTATATGAATCACAAAAAAAATGACTAGAACTGAAAAATATAATGAATAACATTGAAGTTAAATCATCCTATTCTTATCAGCTTGCTATAGTTGTGGCACATGAAGTAGCACACCATTGGTTTGGAAATGTGGTCACTATGGACTGGTGGAGTGATTTATGGCTAAACGAGGGGTTGCTACATGAGTAATTTGAGCTCTCCTCCTACTTGCAAGCTTACATTGTACATTAAATATTTTATATATCGTCATCCTCATATATGATATTCAACTTCTAGATAAGCTATATGGTCATTGAGACATTGTTTCCTGAATGGAAAGTGTGGATACAATTTCTCCAAAAGACTGCCAGTGGCCTACTTATTGATGCATTGGAAAGATCTCATCCAATTTAAGTGAGTAGAAGATCTAGCTTTTTTGTCCCCATACATCACATTTAAAAGGGTTATACTTAGTGGTTTGACAAAATGGAACTTGAAATTTTTTTACCTGGTGGACTAATTCATATGTAGCTAGCCAATATTGTCATTTGGAGATGACACGATTCAAGTGAGTGACAAGTATTGCATTCAGAGTTTTTTTTTTAATCATTGACATGACATTTACCTTGAGGAACAAGTCACAAGTCATGACATGATATTTTCATCTCGAGTCTCTATATTGAAATGACCTTGCTATATAAATCATTATGATTGTTCTTGAAGACTTTAGAATTTGTCATTCTCATGTCTGCAATAATTCAAGATCTTATGTAATCTTAAAAAGAAATTCCCCATCAGAATTCATTTTGGTTTTTCTTGAGTGCAAGATTTCACGACCTAATTTTCTTTAGTTTTTTGCTTATATAAGTTTATTTCTTTGATGTGTGATTTTGTGAAACAGAAAGCTTTGAGTGAGTATATAAAGAGATACGCTTGGAAAAATGCGAAAACGAATGATCTATGGGCTGTCATCTCCGAGGAATCTGGTACACAAATAAACTTAATGATGGACACCTGGACGAAGAATATGGRTATCCTATTATCTCTGTGAAGTTCAGAGATAACACGCTGGAATTTGAGCAGGTCTTAAAACTGATGAAATTGATTAAAATGAAGAATAGCTTGAATTCTATAGTGGAAGTTTGATTTTAGAATATATTTTTCTTTTTGAGTTATAATATTGACTCTGGTCTGCACTTTGCAGTCACGTTTCTTGTTATCTGGTCAACATACTGATAGCCAATGGATCGTTCCAGTCACCTTGGCACTTGGTTCATACAACAGACGCAAAAACTTCCTTTTGGAGACTAAGTTTCATAAGGTTGATATGTCGGAAGATTTTTCTGGTGGTAATGCCACTCCAATCGCTGAAACAATACCGGACACATGGGATGAAAATTCGTGGATCAAAGTTAACATAAACCAGAGCGGTTTTTATAGAGTAAAATATGAGGATAAACTTGCATCTCAATTAAGGAAGGCAATAGAAAACAACATACTGTCAGATACAGATAAGTTCGGTCAGTGACTGCGAATTATGTTGCATTTACAAGTAAAACAGTATTTATCTATTGAGAGAAGTATTATAGATATCGACATTTTGCCTATATCATTTCTCTGAGAATTTTATTCTTGATCTTAAGAAAAAATAAACCACCGCTCAACCCCCAAAAGTTTAAGTTGATGAATTGGGTAAATTTAATTTAGGTGGATATCTCAACCCTCCCCATCACTTGTGGGCTTGGATAATTGCTCAAAGCCCAACAAGTGAAAATCATTATAAATAGGGAGGACCTCCCTCTCTGRTACATCTTAAAGATGGATAAACCACCACTCAACCTAAAAACTTAAGTTGATAGATTGGTAAATTTAATTCAAATATATCTCGACACTTAAATACTCACAGAACCAATTAAACATTTGAATTATGGTTCAGGTATCTTAGAWGATGCATATGCACTTTGTGAGGCTGGTCAAGAACCATTATCATCTGTGCTTTCCTTAATTGATGTCTACAGGAAAGAGTTCGACTACATTGTGTCTTTAAGGCTCATTCATGTGAGGAATAAGGACAGGATCCATTTCTKTACAATTGCATCTTGCGGGCAACTATTTTTGCTTGTATTGACTTCTCAAGTTTTCTGTTTCAGGTCTGCCGTGGCATGCAGAACATTGCAACTGAAGCTATCCCTGATTTAGTTTTTGAACTGAAACAATTCTTCATCAATGTCCTCCAGTTCTCTGCCGAGTAAGAACTCTCCTATGAGAGTGCTATGAAGGCTCACTTAGTCGTTATTTGGTTTATACCTACACTACACTCAATTTCATCATCTTCATTGCTGATTTATAGTAAAAATTAGACCGATAAATTATCGCATTGCCAACCAGTATTTGCGGCAGAAAATTAGGTTGGGATCCAATACCTGATGAGGACCATTCCAGTGCTTTACTAAGAGGAAAAATTTACGCAGCGCTAGCCACATTTGATGATGATAAAACTCACGAGGAAGCAATGTGGCGTTTCCAGGCTTATGTGAGAGAGAAAGACCACTCTTCTTTCAGCTGACATGAAGGAGGTAACGAGCATTATGTCAAGATTGTTTTCTCCATTTGGAGATCTTCAGGMATTACAAATTTGAGATGCTGTTTTAGGCTGCTTATTTGGCTGTGATAAGGAAAGCCACCGTTTCAAGTAGGTATGGATTTGAATCCATGTTGCAACTATACAAAGAAGCCGATGCAGCTGAAGACAAGGAAGAAATTTTGCTTAAGATTCGGAGAATCCTTTAAAAACTTATGATAATAAAATTGCTGTCAGTCACTGTCTCGGTCCATAGTACTAAAATTCTTGATCCTATTCAGGTATTTTAGCAGCTTGTCCAGACCCAAATATAGTTGTGAAAGCACTGGACTTCTTCGTGTCTGAGGAGGTACGGCCAACCTTAATTTGTAAGAGCCACCGATCCAAACTTCACGTTGATARCTTTTAGAAGTTTCATTTCTTCTGTTATCATTAGGTTAGAGAGCAAGACGTTATCTATGGGCTTTCTGGAATAAGTTTTGAGGGTCGTCACAGAACATGGCAATGGTTTAAGGTATGCAATTCCCTGGCTGTAAAACTTCATCAATCATTCCTTGTTTCATTCCTCATCAAAAGTAAAAATTCCAATTGTTATAAATATGCTCCGAATTCTCAGCGAAAAGGTGCAAGTTCTTTAAAGTAAGAAAAAAATTGAAATCTGTAAAAGACTGGAAGATTTTTCCCACAATGTTTTCCACATATATATATATATATATATTGTATTTTTGTGGCTGTCTCATACTTGTACCACTTTTTTTGGTCATAATTAATTCTTCTCCTCTACTCGAGTACTTTTCATGTTAATCTATGTTAGTACTTAGTATTATGGCTTTTTTTTTTTTCTCTTTTTGGCTTCTAGTATTGCCGAACACCAAAGACTTARAAATTGAAACTTCTCCATATTTCTTCAACCCCTTCAAACATTCTGCATCAAGCATGCTTATCTGCTCAAGAATGCCGCAGAATTCAGAATTCATCTTTGCTTATACGTGCATTGTAAACCAAGAAAAAGAAAGATGTCCCAAGAAGATTCCCCTTTTGAACTTCATCATATTAATGGATATTTGCTCAAAAAACTGCAGGAGAATTGGGAGCTCATCTTTAACAAATATGGTCCTAATCTTTTGCTCACTCACTTCATCCGTGACATTATCACTCCGGTAAGCTCCTAATAACTCGAAAAGCACAGAGCATATCACTTATCAGTAAAAWAAGATTTTACAGCGTGCTGTCCAAGTTCAAACAATGTGTTAAATTACTAATCAACCTTTAAATTGATGGGTTACGGTAAATTTAATCATTTACATATATTTTAACCCTCCCCCATTTGTGGGTTTGAAAATTTGTATAAAATTCAACCAGTGTAATCAATATTAAATGGGAAGGAAACGACAAGAGTTTGAACATAAAATTTTCTGTTCTGGTATCATGTTAAATTACCAATCAACTAAAAAACGTATGCTGATAGATTACAGTAAATTTAATCTTTTATAGATATCTTTAACACAATTCGTAAATTATGATCTCTTGGGACTTTTTGGGCTCACAGTTGTATTCCAACACTTTCAGTTTTGCAGCAATGAGGATGCAAACGAAATAGAAGCATTTTTTGCAACCCACCCACACRACTCGGTTACTATGGATCTGAAGCAGAGCCTCGAGAAAGTTCGCAACAAGGCAAGATGGGTTGAGTTCATTAAGCAAGCTCACTCTCTACCTGACCTCATTAAACAACTGCCAAAGGTTCATCTTGAACTATCTACTTGGTATTGAGTTAAATATGGATGCAAACTTTAACTTTTAAATGTATAGAAATATGGACTGAAATCTCAAAACCTCACCGTCATGGAGTATGGAAATGTTAACATAACTATATAAATCTTAAATTATGGGTATAGTAATTCAAATTCTCAATCTCATAGTTGGATATATGTGCCTTAACCCGTTAGAGTTATACTCTAGTTATTTACTGGTTTAAATTTTAAAATAGAAAATCAAAAATAAAATAATTATCAAAGGATATTGAAAAAACTCACCTCGGATGAATGAAATCTAGAATAGAAAAATGATGGAAATAATTATATATTTAGGCACTAATAAACAAATAAAGAAATTAATTAATTAATTAGAATTTAACTTGGGCCGAGTCATCTTACAGTTCTGGGCCCTCACGGCCCAGAATGGATGTCCTCTTCGTCCTCTGCCGCTCCTTGATTGAGTTCATCCTCTCCAATTTCAGACCCTCTCTGAATCTTTCGATGAAGCTATCAGCTTTACTGTTCACGTCCGGACTTGGACAAAACATCGGACTCTTTCTCTCTGAATTTTCGTTTCTTCTCCCTAGATATTCCCCATTCGTTACCGTCCACAACTCCGCCGCCGTGTACGGCGGAGCTACCGGAACCGGCGGTGGCGCTTGCCCGCCGGTGCTATTATGGGTTCTTTCAGCGATGTGTTTTTGCGGCGGCGACTGCGGTGGAGCTGGGTACTCTTTTCTTGTTTCGCCGATATTACTGGAAATTTGAAAGTGATGGACCGCCGCCGGTGGCGGAGATGAATTCCGATGGTGATATTGTGGGGTGAGCAAATCGTTGAAATTCTCAACACCCTTTTGCCTTTGCTTCGTCTTCTTCTTCTTCTTCTTGTTCTTCTTCTTCCTCCTTGATTCTTCCTCATCGGCCTCTCTCTGTTTCTCATTTTTGCTTATTTCATCTTCCGATGCCTGAAAATCCAGTCGGAGGAGCGGTGGTTCTAAATTTTCATCCCCTTCATTTACTCGCTCCACCTCTGCTGCAACCACCGCACGCGGCGGCGGCGGCGAAAAARGTTGAGGAGGTGTCATTAATGGCGGAACAGAGAACTGATGCAGAGCCGAAGACGAATAAGAAATTTCTTCTTCATGAACAGAAAATGTGGCTCTAGCCCCTCTCTCAATACCCAATTCCTCTTCAAATCCCTGCAAATTTCCACAATGCTGAAGAGAATCTAAACTCGGAGATTGATAATTGGTCATATAAGGATTGCCGGAGAGCCTCCAGTATTCAATTCCGGCGACCCCGGAGAATGGGGGAGGAGAATCTGGTCCGTCCGATCTGAATAGCCTCGCCACTGATTTGGGATTGATGGGTTTGACTTCTGATTCTGTTCCGATACATTCGAAGTGGCTCTGTAAACTTCTTCATGAACTCTGTCTTCGCCATTGTTTCTGCTCAGAAGTCCACAGGCAATGGCGAAGAGGACCAGGGCCACACTGAGGAAGTCCAAGCTCTTCCTCGCAGAATGGGCCTTAGAGAAATGGAAACTGAAAGAGTAAAATGGACAAACTGTGAAAACGAAGATGAAACACAGAGAAACGATGAGGAAGAATATGGCAAAGGCATCGGAATTGAGGATTTCAAATGATGTGCAGCGGAGATGGCGGCGGCCGGAAGTGGGTTCCGGCAGGGGCGGTGGCGGTATGTCAGCTACTCCCTCCATTTTGGTTTTGGCTTTTACCTTTGTGAGGGAGAGGTGTTTTGTGTTCCCATAGTGTAGAGAGAATAGAACCATATAAATCATATCCATATATTTTATTATAAGAGAATAAATGTAAAATGTAAATTTGCAATCTCTACCATAATAAATACACATCTATATATTAATAATCTGAAAACCGAAGGAAATGCTAAATAAATATCTTGCATTACTTTTATACAATATTATCGATTTTATTTCATGAGATTAGTAACACATGAAGTTGAAATTCGAACATGTTATCTTATTTGAATAATCAATCTTTTTTCCACGTCAGATTGACGTAAGACTGTTTTTATCTGGATTAATGAACTTCCAACCAACTAAATATGGGGAAAAAAAACTCCAACTCGTTTGTTTACACAATCCGTCGAGTAGAAAACTCGATTCTTCAACCTCAAATTTCGTGAGCCAAAACATGTGTCAAACTCGAGCCCTTTGAACGACATTGAAGGCAGAAAAGTTTTTTTTTTTTTTTTTTTTTGGAATATCTTATTTAAGTGCAAAATCCATGTTGTGGTGGGTTTAGGGACATGGTTGCAACTATATTGGAAAAGGAATCCCAATAAAATGAGATGCAAGTGACTTTTAAGTTAATACTCAAGAACTCGAGACAACACAGCCCTTGTTTGGCGGGATAAGATTCCATGCTCACGTGAGAAACGGATTCCCACTGTCAAATAATCCTGCATATCTTTAGTTTAAYACAACTTACTTACATCTTTTTAAGTTAAATTAACTTTGCTTTTTAAACAAACTTTAAGATCCTAAACTATTTCATTTAACTTTAGTTTTTAAAAAAACTTTAAGATCCTATTTATTTAGGAGCTATTTGATAACCATACCGTTTGTTTTTTAAAATTAAGTTGGTTTTTGGTATAATTTTATTTGAATTCTTAGCTAAAAATGATTATCAAATAAAGATTTAATATATAGAACTTTTAAGATTGTATCTACTCGACCTAATTTATAAACATTTTTATTAGGAGTTTAAACTTTAAATTTTATGTTAAATTACTTTCAATTTTAGGTTTAAGTCACTCTGACAATTTAATGCTCATGCCCACTCTACATTGATTAAGTGATATACTAATCTAGCAGTTTCAAATATTTGGTAATGATTGGACGAATAGATTAACTGCAAAAAAAAGTATTGGAAACGAGCTTGACTAAATAGAAACCAACTTTAAAAGTTAAAAAACCCTACAAAAAAATATCTCAAAACACATAAACTAAATAAATACCATAAATTAAGGGAACATTTTTTATTTTTTATTTTTTATTTTCTATTTTCAAACAGATGTTAAAACCATATTTTAGTTAACTACACTAATTTTCTTTTTCTTTTAGAATATTACATCACAAATGCAAGATAAAAAAGGCTCAGTCTCATGTAATCAGTAGGTATCAGTAGGGGGAGATGTGTTAATATTACCAAGAGACAATCACTCAAATTCATCTTCTTCAATAAAGTATTGGCAAATGTGAAGAGAAGCAAATGAAATGAATATAATAAATCTACAATATAACTGTTACTGTCTTGTGAAGGAATTTGAAGTTGACCCGAAGAAAAAGAAATTCCTATTCCCTTCCCTACCATTGAAAAAAGTAGTAATCAAGAAGAGGAAGAGGCTATAATGTTATATAAAGCAGAACCAAAATCTTGAACTTGGCTTGAAAAAAAGCAAAGAAAGAAGAGGTTCACAGAAAGAAACTGTATCAGGAAATCCCAAAATTCTCTACCTATACATATGGGCAGTTCATGTTCAAGTATTGGTATGGTGCAGTCCAAAATCATAGATTAGAACTTCATTACACATGCTGTTTCTTTTTTCTGCTGGATTTCCATCAGAAACGTTCTATGATACATATACAGATTTCTATATGTGAGAGAGAGTACGAATGGAACGAGATGCAATGTGGCAGAACATACYGTGTCTCTTGACATATGGACTTGGCGGGTAAGTTCGGTTTGGTTTGGCTCGGTTTGGCCAACTATTTGTTGTCAAGATTTGGTCTTGAACTTTCTTTGAGCTTTCAAGTCCACTACAATCACAGAGATGTTGTCTTTGCTTCCCTTTTGGAGAGCAAGCATAGAGAGGTATTCTGCTGCTGCTTGTGCAGCTGGGTCGACCCCCACGCCCCGATTGGCGAGAGATGATGCCCCATGCTTTTTGTGCCAAAGCAGAATCCGCCTTCGAGCCACTTCGCAGACTTCCTCGTTCGTCATCACATCCCACAGTCCATCACTGGCTAAAATAAGACATTCGTCTTCTTTTGCGCGAGGAATGAACATGACTTCTGGATCGGGAATAATCCATGGCTTCAGATATCTATCACCTGTTAGGTATGTATGAGATAATCGAATCTTTTCATGTTCAAAAAAATAGTCTGCTCATTTTTAATCCGCAATCTCTATTACAAGAAGCAAGAGCTAGAAGATTTTATTGGTAAAAACCTACCAATGGATCTTGACATTCCAAGAACTCCGAATACGCGGTGTCCATTCCACTGGATGACTTTGCCTCCAGATGATTCGATCCGAGCATATTCATCTTCCCGATTTGGCTGTGGAAAAATTACATTCAGAAATTAGTTCCTTCACAAGATAGAGGTTGCTATATCATTCTATCTGCGATCGGATGTATAGCATACTTTATGATCGACTGAAAGCGCCATAGGTTCTTTGCCACGGCATAGGACTGCTCTTGAATCGCCACAGTTTGCAACTATGATGTGAGACGAACAGACCAAGGCAACAACAGCAGTAGAGCCAACAGTTTCCGGGGCAACAGATTCAAAGCTAGCATCGGAAACATCTCCATCGCTTCCACTGACTGATCCACCAACTTTTCCTTCTATTTCATCATCAACCCTCAAAAAGCAATTATTAAAGGTTCTCTCCCAATCCTGCTGCCAGTTCTCTTCAGTGCTTAGATTTTGTTTAAATCTTCCTATCTCTTCAGCTAATGCCAAATGTATTCGCTCTCGACAATAATCAGCAACCTACAAAAAAATCACTTTTCTTTTAAATTCAGAATGTGACATAGAATTTGAGAATCATCTACCGCAAGCAGAGCAGAGCAAGACAAGTCAAAAGTTCTATAGCAACTTTATTGTTTCCTTTCATCAAGAACCAAACTTTCATTCAGGAGAATGAAAGAATACAAAAGCCAACAAAAAACAGCCCTAAGAAAGGAGTCAGACCTAACTAAACAAAAAAAGCTTCAATCCCAAAAAAAATTAAATAAATAAAAATCAAATCTAATGAGTAATTACAAAAGCCTTGGGAGACTAAGGCCCAAACCGAGGCATTAAACCTAGGAGGGGCTAAAATAAGTCGTGCATATACTAAGAAGGTAGAAGAAGAAAACTTCTATCAATGCTTCAAGTCCTCTCTTTTAAAGGATAGATCCTAAATAAGTTATGCAACTCTATATATAGACTTATTAGAAAGACTAGGGCCAAGCAAAGAAAGATAATCGAGTCTATGCGTACGAAATTCAAAGTACCATCAAACAAGAACGACATTCAGCAAAAAGAAACTAAGAAGCTCTTAAATAGAACAAATTAACTGCTATTTGGTAAAGAGGTCGTACCTGAGAGCCCCCATGTCCATCATAAACACCAAAGAAATGGCTGTTGAGATGTGTTAAACTTTGGCCCATTCCATTAACCAAACCATTGCCTACGAGCATTTTGATAGGAATCTTGGTAAAACAAGGAACAGCAGCAATTGCATCTTCCATCTCCGGTCTTCTACCACAAATCGATACAGAACCCCAAAGGGGAATACAATCTAGTTCAAAGACACTACGAGCGCCTTTATGAACATTTTCCTCCCCTTTCGATCGGAAAACTACTGCAGGGGCATTCAACTCCGACTTAGCGGATACTTCTAAATCTGGGCTTACCGTCGCCACGATGATTTCGCTGGTAGGAATCTTTCTTGATTCCACTAAGATAATAGCCTTGGCAACAATATGACCATTGCTAACATCTCCAATTTTGACAACTTCTTGCACATTAATTTTTGAAGTGCCATCAATAGCGAACAATCCATCATCTATCATTTCGTCAGTGTCATCCATAGTAGATAAGGTTGAACCTCCCTTATCTGCAGTCAAATTCGTGCCATTCTCCGGTAACAACCCCCAAAAACTATCTCTACCTTGACCACTGTCAGTCAATTTTGACACAGTTACACCATCGACTATACCATTAAAATCATGGCAACTACCCTTGCCAATCGAACCCGAATCGGGGGACGATGCAGAGAATAAATTTACAGTGTCTGTTACCAACTTTAGCCGAGTGAATTCGACATGGCCCGGACTTCCTGAGCTATCAGACTTTGGATTACCCAAACTAAGAGTCAAAGAAACTGCAGGAGACATCTCTTCCATCATTCTTAAATCTTAACTAAAATATCTTCCAATTTCTCTACAACCACATCATTTGGCAAACCATCTTCCCCTCTTACAACATTTTACCAGTCATACTTGAGATAAAACTAAGCTGGTTTAACTACTACCACTTCCTAAACCCACAAAAAATTGTCAATAACAAAAGTTCACAACCAAATTACAGAGTATTCAATAGTGTAAGCTCAAAACAATCAGAAGAAAGCAGTCCCTTACTCCACAGATCTATTTAGGAACAGTGGATCTAACCTTGCAATAAATCAAACTAAAGCAATGACAAAAGAAGGAATTCCACCAAAACTTCACACACCATCTCTCAAATTCTTCCCCTTCTGATAAGAACTGCCAACTATCAACAATCTTTTCTCCACTATCAGTTCTTATATACACAGAGACTGAGAAAAACGAGGATCTCTCAACTTTATCCAATAAAGAGAAAAAACCCCGCGAAGGAGACAGGTGGAGGGATCTAAGATAAAGTGAAATCACAAGAAATCCCCAAAAGGGTTCGCCTCTTTTTTCACATAAAACTTGAGAGTTTCCTGGATCCAAGGCAACCCACCAAAATCCGATCCAAAACGAACGAATCTTCTACCACCCCCTCCTCCTTGTTCTTCTTCCAACCAAAACGACAAACCCCATGTAAATATAAACCAACATCACAAGTCTAAAGATCCCATTCGCTCAAAAAAACAAAAAAACAAAAAACAAAAAAGGGAACAGCAAGAAATAACGCAGAATATCAGTATTAGAAGAGAAGGAGAAAATGAACACTTCTCACCAGTTGAAAGTTTGGAAAAACTGGAGGAGTAGAATCCAAATCCAGACCTCTATAATGACTTTGATTCTATTTTATCCCCGAGAGGGAGAGAGAAAATAAAAATGATATACGATTTTTTTAATTGGGGAAGAAAAAAGGTTTGATTTTTGTTTAAAATAAAATTTGGGTGTGTTTTTATTGGAACAATGCAACTCCATTGTTGGACACGTATACTGTATAACAAGTAATTATCTTGAATCGTTGAAAGCTGTGTGCGACGGAAAAATGGTGGATTCATATCACCAAAGATTATTAACTCATGAATCTTCCATGAGAAAAGACGCGTGTCCAGAGATACCCCTTTATTTCTTTTTTGGTTTTTTGAAAAAAGAGAAATTTTGAAAGAAAGAACAGAAAAGTCCACTGGGGACCAATCATGTCCATGGCATCTGGACCTGTTGGGTCCTCTGGTTTCTGCCACGTTGTGGTCTTTGCTTTGCCATTTCACAATTTTCCTCTTCCTCTCCTCTTCTCTCACGTAACAACAAACCTAATATATTTTTCAAATAAACAATCAATCACAATGGCGGTGCAAAAGAATTCTTTTCTTTTTTAATGAAAAATATAAATATAAAGAAAGAGGGAATAGTGAATAATTGGATTGTATGCATTTCTTTTTCTTTCATTTCAATTGTTTTTTTCCGTTGCAAATTTCATCCCCCAATTCATAAAATTTGAAGAAGTCCCTAGAAACTTAAAATCCATAGGCTCCATTCGTAATATTTATATTTCTTGTTTACGTTTTCATTTTTAATAAATAAAAAAGTATTATATCACCATAATATCTACAAATTCAAGTATGATAAAACAATTTTTTTATTTATGTTTTAAAACATATTGGAAATGAGAACAATAAATAAGAAACTTGTTTTAGTTACTTCCAAAATTTCTATAAAGAACGTTTTCATAAAAAGAGAAACAATAAACATAGTTACTTCCGAAATGCTTAATTTCTTAAGAAAATTAGAAATGAAAAAAAGAAACGAAAACGTTACCAAACGRATCCTATGTAACTTATGTTCGGTTATCGTCTGTAGGTTTATGGTTTAAGAAAGTTTGTTTATAGCATAAAAGATGAGTTTCAAAAATTTTGAGGTACATAGCATGGATTTATATAGTTTGTGTGATTAACCAATTCTATTCGGGTAGATATAACTCACTTTCCAATTCTAAATTACACAAATTTAATTCATAAATTCAACACCTACCAATTGATTTTATATCTAGAATTTGGATCTCTTCAAAAATGCTAAATATACTTCTAATTTTGTAGTTTATTTCAAAGGTACTCCAATTATTTCAAATTTTCAATACTACTCTAAAAACTATATTATGAACAAACATCCAAAATCCACGGCACAATCTAAAACAATGTGACAATTAACCTAGAATGAATAACATTACAATTTTGAAAGTATTATTAGTATTTTATTAAACAAAAGCAAAGTTCAAGTATTTTTTTTTAATTTAGCCTCGGCTATTGAACTTTATTCCTATTATTTAATTATTTAATTACTTTTATAAAATGTTGAACTTTACTCCTTGAGCTCATTTATGATAGGATGTTAGCATCTTTAGGTGTAAATCCAATTGTGAGTAAAAATTGGAATGTGAGAGATTGACGTTTAAAGCATTATCTTTTAGTTTTGTTCAACTATGAATGGGCACACATTTTCATGTAGCTCAAATGGGGCAGTGCATGCATCGAATCGCCACGCCCTCCATTGACACAAATCTGCGCTTTTGGGGGCAGAATCTCTGCCATTCCAACTTGCAGCACTTCACACTTTTTGGCCTGCAATTGAAATCAAAAGTAAGTCCTTCAGCAATGGCGGCTTGGCTTCTCATTTATCAAAGTTGCCGTCAAAATGGGCGCAATGATGGAGAAGTTCAAGCTCCTCTCTCTGCACCAACTCTTCAAACTCAAATCTGTAGTTTCATGTGAAAGGTTATGCTCTAGTAGTGTCAGAGAACTTACAACCCGAACCGAAGTCGACTTTATTGAAAGAAACCTTATGTCTCGAAAAGAATAAGTTTAGATCATTCCACCAAAGGAGTTTTAACACATCTCAACTCTTCACAACTTCCCATCCTAGAAGATGGGAGCAATGGAATAAACTATCAGCCAACGAAACATACAAAATTTTCTCTTCGTCACTGGACTATCCTTATTGATCTGGCGATTGACCAATCGTAACCTACGTGGCCGGTTAAAAGGGAAATTTTCAATCTACATTCGTTTCAAAGCTTTAATTTCTCAACAATGACCACCTTATTCCCATAATCTATGCAAACTCCAATCTCCTTGGTTGCCAAATATAGGAGACTAATGATACAACCGAAGCCGGAAAAAGAAATCCAAAAGAAGAGCTGAGATCGCATTCATATCTTTCCACATGATTGCTTATGGGACAAAACGATAAATTGTTTGATGAGGAAGTGGAGAACTCAATCAATCTATAACAACATTGATTCAGGATTCTCGATGTAGCCCTTGAATGCTTTGAGCCAATCTGCACCGATTGCCCCTGAAAAAACAAACATGATGTTACAGCTGCCTCACTCTTTCAAGTTGTACAAAATCTTAAACAATTTCAGTTTCAGAATGTTATAGTGTTTCTACCATCAATAACGCGATGGTCACAGCTCAGTGTAACAGACATGAACGAAGCAAACTTGAATTCTTCGGCGCCTGATCCGGGTATAACCCTCTTCTCAGCTGCTCAAGATTACATGTGAATGGTGATTTATAATTGTTAAAAAATAAGAAATTTAAAAAAGAAAACAAAAAAGGAAAGATGCTTTGGTATCAAGTATGATGAAGTATCTGTGCATACCAGATCCAACAGCAAGAATGCCCGACTGTGGAGGGTTGATAATGGCACAAAATTGCTTGATGCCAAATGGGCCTCCCAAGTTAGACACAGTAAAAGTGCCTCCCTACAAAAGGATTAAAATGCTAATTAAAATTCTAAAACCATGAAGAAGTCTTGTTCCTGCTCATCAAAACAACATAGAACACTGTTCACCTCATAATCTTCTGGTTTTAAGCTGTTCTCTCTCGCTTTCTGAGCCAATTTCTTGACCTCTTCCGAAATACCAGATAAACCTTTCTTGTCTGCATCCTGTAAATTGTACAAATTCACTTCTATAAAATGGTAATGAAAGCCAACTATCTCAACGGCATCTATAGAGAAAATTACTGACCCTGATGACGGGAACGTAGAGTCCATTATCAGTCTGCACTGCAACATTAATATTTACGTTGTGGTACCTGGATGAATGGACAAAGAAAGAAATTCACGTCACAATGTGAAATTGATAATAAGAAAATTATAACTTACAATTAACAAGTCTTATCACTTACTGTCTAATATAATTGTCCGTCCATGAACTGTTGCATTGAGGTACTTTCCTAAGAGCCAAGGCAGCAGCCTGCAGAAATATTCTTAATTAAGACTAAAAGGACTTGAAAGGAGAAAAAAAGATGAATTGGGTTGGATAGAAAGGTTGTAGAGAATTGTTGGCTAGATGAAGTAGGTTTTATCTTCTGCAAGGGCTTAAAAACTTCCAAACATTTAAATCACATGAAAAACAACTCAAATACAAAACTCCAATCTATCACTTCACATAAAACAGAGAAAGGGAAGGATGGAAGCATCTGAAAGCTTGAAGGCATACTGCTTTCAAATTGCGATTTCTTTTCTCTTTTGCATCTTTCATTAATTTTTTTAATTGAAAAGGATACAAAAGAAAGGGAAAATGGCAAAGGTTCTAGCGAAATGCTTTAAAGTACCTTAATAACAAGGTCATTAACAGATATCCTCTTTCCACCAGATGCTTCTTGTAATGCATTTAGCTGGCTTCTCAAACTACAAAGAGAGCAACAGCTCATTAAATTTTTAACTTTGGTTAATATTTAACGGCAAAAAGTATGCAGAAATTACTTACTCCATTAGCTTGTCAACGCATGTATCTACAGTTAAATAATAGTGAGGAATGGTCTGCTTTGAGAAAAGTAAACGTGATGCTGTAACCTGTCAAAAATGTGATAATATTAGTTTTGGGATAGCATGCACCAAGTTAGAATATTTGGACGGTTTAATCTATAAATCCAATAAATAAGATTAGAATTTGAAAATAGAGATGCCACCGACATAGACAAATAACAAATAGAAGATATCTCTTTCATAGAACATCCCAACAGTTGAAAGGTGTAGAGTCTGATATATTCAAACAAACAATTGCAGTACTTTAGTGTTGCTAGTACATATGCAAGCTTAAGTATTGTTAAGGAATAAGGTAGCAAATAAACTGGGAACCCAGATGGAGGCACTGCGGAGTGAAATGTCAAATATTACACTACAAAGCTACCAGCAAATACCAATAAATCCTATTATCATTGGTGTGTGTGGGTGGGAGGGTGGGGAGCAGCGGACCTTTCTTATTTGAGTATGTGGGATATCAATGTAATCCAATAGACCACCTACTGCATCCTTGGCTTTGGGGGCTGTCGTTGATTTCTTTCCACGTGAAGCTAGATACATAGGTTAAAAGATATTAGTGGCTGTTTTAAAAATAAACATATCAATGGGTATGAAGACAACAGAGATATTCACAGTAACAACTCGAAGTATAAACAAATATGAACGAAGAGAGACAACAGCACAAAAAAATTAATAAAATTGTCAGTTCCCACTGCCCAGCATAAAGAAAATGAGTTACCCAAGTAATCTTCTATGTCAGCCTTCACAATGCTCCCGTCAGGACCTGTTCCTTTGATACTTGAAATGGGCACCTACGCTCAAAATTTTCAAAATATAACTAAAAAGAAATCACAAATATAAGGTTCCAAAATTTAATTAGAAAGATATTCTACAACGAACATTGTTTTCTTCTGCTAGTTTTCTTGCCAGAGGACTAGCAAAAATACGCTCTCCAGCTGGAGCAGGAGGACTCTGCTTAGCAGTCTTTGGCTCAGGTGAAGGAACTGATTCCTCAACTGCTTCTTTCTTGGGTGGGCTAGAGGCAGATGACTCCTTATCAGCTGCAGCACCAGCACCAGCACTTGACGAACTGGGTTCATAATCTTTGAACTTTACTACATCCTCTTCGTCTTCAACAGTAATGGCAATTACCTATTAAAAAAATGCTTACGTCAGCCACATCAAATGCGGGAAAATATTTATATATATCCATACTATAGCCTCTATCTTGAGAAAGACCTATCAATGACGGTCATTGCCATAACCTGTGACAATGATACAACATGACAATCACTCCTTTTCTCCTTATAATTTTCACAAGGACAAGAGGGAAGAAAAAATGATGGGAAGCAATATCAATACCTCACCAACTTTAATTTCCTTTGCCCCATCTCCACGAAGTATCTTGGCAAGATAACCTTCCTCCATGCATTCCATTTCTACTGTTGCTTTGTCCTTGAAGTATGCAGAATCAGAAATTATATTGCAATATCCCACCATAAAAAGGCAGTAAAAAACTAATTTCAACTTCCAACTGCAAAAAGGTATTAGAATATACTGTTTCAACTTCACAAAGCACTTCCCCAGGAGAAATTTTATCTCCCTCTTTTTTCAGCCACCTTGCAATGTTGCCCTACATAATATAGAGAACAACTTAGCATTTATATAACAGTAAATTATTCTGCCAGATTAGCGAGCATAATTAAGCTACCTCTGTCATTGTAGGGGAAAGCGAAGGCATTCCAACCTCTTGATGTGGGGGTAGGCCTGAATCATGTTGAATGATTCTAAGTAAAATGCATATTATATTCAAAGATAATTTTCCACAGGCAGTTAAGTAGAAAATGATATGAAAACTACATTGATAGTCATACAATAATGGGTTAGGGTTTAGGGTTTAGAAACAAAGGACTTTAATTCTTAAACACGAAGAATAACAAAACATTTATAGGGAAAAATATTGTTTTCTATAGGATATTAAACGTGTATCATCGTATGAGCTAGAGTGGATATTTCTTCAAAAGCATGTACTATTCATTTGCCATCATAACAGAAAGATTTGAGATAAGAAAATAATCATAGCAAAATCAAGCACAAAATGCAGTTTTATCATTGACAGAAACATAGTTAGAGTTGTTTCTACTGGCAAAAGGAAGTATGCAAACACTATATGCTTTTCAACAAGTCAAAATCTTGTAAATTCATGCATGTTCTGCAGAATGGAATAAGAACATAAGACCATACAGTGTACCTGAATCAGAGGAAAAACCTCTCTTGGAATTTATCAGTGAACTGTTGTGGGGAAAAAGACAGGGTGTTAGAGCTATAATTTTGATCTCATCCTAACTCACAAACAAATGCAAATATTGATACTGACCCAGAAAAAGGACTCCCCACACTTGTAGTCATCATTGAAACACCTCTATTACACTGGAAAAGGTGTGGTCTCTACGAAGGGAAAACAAGTTGCATCATAAGTTGTCAGGCACATGGTAGACAGTAACAAGCTAAAGAAGAAAAGGGAAGGAATAATGATAATAACATTCCAATCAGCTAAAAATACTGATTAATGAATTCGTGAACAGGTAAAGGCTACAACTTACGTTGTTAACATTGACAAGGTTCCTAATTCCCCCCTTTTGCGAAGCCTGGTAACCAAAACCCTGGATCTTCCAAATTTCTGTGAAACAACCATCTTTGTTAGGGTAACTGATAAAGTGCCAAGTTCCAACAGTCAACTGCTGGATGCACTCATTTTACCCATATTTCTTCATTGTTTCTCTTGTTCTTGGATTAAAAATAGAACAGTTTTTACATGACGATGCAAAAATAATTAAACAGAAAATCCATCTTGTTAAACTAACAGAAAAAACAATAAATAAATAAATATATGTATATCTCATTTCTGATTAATTACAGCATATAAATGTCAAAAAAAAAAGTAACAAGCAGAGTTCTTATACTTCAGGTGTACAAAATATACTTCATAATTCTTTTTGTAACTATAGTCTAGCAATGCTTATCCGCGATTGGAAAGCCGCTCTTATATAGTTTTCTGTGAGGCGGGGGCCTTCTCATCCCCCGGCCCTTAGGCTGCTTTTGTCTTTCTCAAAACACGGTTTCTGTTTCTTATCAATTACACACTTTATAATCAAGAACAATATTGGATTCCAAAAATGCCCTTGTAAAGGAGTTAGCCATAGACTAATAAAAAAGAACAAACTTGTCTCTCCATGACCAACTGCTTACCATCTTGTTTGACAATAGAGGACTGCACTTCATTTGAAAACCAGCGAATCACACTAGCTTGCTGAAGTAACTTTGGAGCACTTCTTAACTGCAAGAATAATATGCTTCTTATTAATGTTCCACTTCACATCAGGAAAAATTGCCTAACCTCGTGTCAGAAGAAACAGCTTCATGAAGATTAATGCAAACCACGGGAAATAAGAAGCATGAAGGATCGTGTATAAATACAAGGTACAGGAGAGCTATGAGCTATTTCCTAACAGTCACATTGGCAACTGGCAAGTATAACTTAAGCATTGAAGTGAAACGTCCCCAGTAAGTCGGTGGTCATTACATAATTTGTTGACATAAATTTGCAATTGAGAGTTCAATTGTGAGCCTGTGATAATAAATCAATGTCTCCAAGTTGAAAACTACTAGTAAGCCAGTGCGCAACTATTCAAATCCGTAATAACATCCCCCACCCCACCACACACCACGCCAAAAATAAATGACAAACACCCCCGCTGACTTATTTATGCAACAATCACAAGGGAGGATCACTAAAATCCAATTGCACTTCGAGGGGTGAAAGAATAAGGAAAAGAAAGGAATCTTGGAGAAGCATAGAAAAACCAAAACTACAATTAAAATGAAATGCCCATTAGAATATTGAAGTAGTCTACAATTAAAGATTAGCTTAATTATGGTCTGGAACTGCAAAAAACATTGATCTCCTCCTGTTCGACAAAGCAGCTAGATTTTCAGGGCAGCACTGCTATAAGTCTAAACGAAAATAACCACCACCGAACAAAAACAAAACATATGTGCTCCTATTTGTGCAACATGCATATGACACATCCCGAAGCTTACACCAATAACGATTGGGAAAAAGAATTCGATACTCAAATTAGAAACAGATGGATCAATACTTCACAGTGTAAGGAAGTCGATGATATTGGAATTGAACCTCACCTTTTTAGAGTGGTTGATAATTTGCGATGCGTAAACCATGTTGTCTGGACAAACTACCCAGAAATGAGGCTTCCAAGAACAAACGGAAATCGATCTGCAGCTAAAGATGATGAACAGCACGCCACGAAGAAAGAAAAAGCTTGAAAAAATGAGGAGTTTATTAGGGTTCAGTAGCAGATCTCTGACTCCGATTCCGTTCGGCCTAATTCACGTTGTTAATGCATTTGTTTTCTGGCGGTTTTTCGTTTTTCTTTTTTACTTTTTTCTTTCTTTCTTTCTTCTTTTATCCCCTTCTTTTTTTCCTTTCTTTTTTTCCTATTTTTACGCGCGTAGGTGGTACTCCATTAATCATTACGTAGAATCCAAAAGGTAGGCGGAGGGAGCTGAATATTGGGCTGGACTGGGCTCGGCTGGGCTCGGCTATTTAAGCCCATTCATTTTATTGCCTTTTAATTTTAAACTTTTTATTTGAATACTAATGTACTATTAAATTTTCTTTTTCTTTTTTTTTTTAAAAAAAATATACCTTTGACTTTGATTCTATTCTAGTCAGTGTATTTTTAAATATTTGGATCTTATACTTTTAGTTTTAGTTCATTATTGTACTTTCGAACCAGTCAATTTGGTCTCTCTACTTTTAAAAATTAACTAATTTAGTATTTATTTACAATTTTTTAACACGAATTTTGTATAGTATAGAAACCTTCGAGGTTACATTTTAATAAATTTAGTTAGTGCAATGTAGGTTAAAAATATGGTTGAAATAAATAAAATGAAAATGGAAAGATTAACATGGACATTTTGACAATGTAATAACTAAAATGAACAAATGTTAAAAATATAGGTATCAAAGTGAACTAAAATCGAAAGTAACATTTTTTAAACGTTATATGCGTTAACAATTAATTGTTTTTTTGTGATTTTTGAGAGGAAATTACATTGAATGGCAAATGTATTATTTTTAAAGTGTCGATAGTATAATTCAAATTCATTTTAAAGTTGGATAAAATTCAAATTTYCAAATTCATTTCAATTTTGAAGTTGAATCATATTATAGCCTTTAAATAAAGGTTGGATCCAAATTTTCAAATTTGATAAATCAAATTTGAATCAACTCCAAAGTTCATTATGTTAAAAATAAATGGTAATTTGAATTTTGATGTACAAATTTCATATGCATTTTAGATTGAATAGTGCAATTTATGGTTGATTAACCCACATTATTATTATTATCTTGGTCCACCGTAAACAAATTATAAGAATGATGACCCAAATTTATATTTTTTTATCGTCCAATATTTTCTAAATTCATCCTACATAAATTTTATAAATATAGCATTGATAGAACCATAGATGTTGGGTCGAGTAGATCATGTTGTTATTACTGACAAAAACTACGTTTGATTAAAATCGGGACGTCAAATCGAGCATAGCTCAAATTGTTAAGGCATCTATCTCTGACCAAAAGATAATGARTTTGAACCCCTTAAAATTTCATTACATGGTAACTTCGCCTAAAACCAAAATTACACAAGATTGATACATCTAACTTAGGGTTTCAAAATCACTAAAATTCATACATTTTAAAATAAAATTGAGCCATAGCCCAAATGGAAGAGTCCCCTAATTTAAAAAGATTTTAGAGAATTCATAAGCAAATTGAAGCTCTCCCTATGAAAACTTTAAGATTTTAAAACTTAGCAAATTGAAACTTTCAAAGACTTTTAAGATTCGAAAGTTTTCAGAGTGTATAGTACTTCCATTCAAATAACAAACATCTCAACCTTCAAATCAAGTTAAAGACAAATAATTAGATAATAACAACTAGATATTGAATCCAGAGACATACAACGAAATAAAAGTTTAACCCCACAAACAAATTGCTACAGACATCTAGGTGTGAACATAACCATTTTGATCCATAATTACAAAATTTTAACATAAATCTAATACCTAATAGAAACTACTTAATACAAATTTATGACTCCACCTCGATAAGAAAAGTGTAATGTTAAAATTTTGATTCAAATAATTGTACTATGTTTTTCTTGAAATAAACGTGATAAGAAAAGGTTAAATGAATGGATTAAAATAGTCAACTTTAAAAAATACATAGATAGAAAATGAATTTTTCGAAAGTACACAAAGAAAATAAATAAAAAAATTTGAAAGTATCAAGATAAAAAATGAACTTTCTAAAAACTATACAAAATGAACCAAAGTCAAGGGAGCAAAAGATTATTCGAACCATTTAATATAATTATTTATGTTTTGTGTCTTTGCGCGAAATTGTATTATTTTAGATACGAGTATTAAATTCAAAATGTAATGTAAAAGACAAATATTTTCTTTTTCTGGACATTGGAATCTTGCCTTTCGAAAAAGAGTCTGTCGGGGCATGCGAAGGGTCGGGTGTATATATATTATTTTTTTTGGGTACTCTTATTATTTTTAGAACGTGATTTAAAAGTAATTTTCCCTTTTCAAACTATTATCTCAAACATCATAATCAATTCTCTCTTAAATTATCCTAACATATTTAGATCAATAAATCATCGATGACAACTTATACCAAATAAAAAAATTATTTAATATTTATATAAATCACATTATAAAGACACAATTTTTATCATGCTTCACAAGTTTGTGAATGATTTCAAAACAACAATATTTTCGAAATTAGTTAAAGAAATATTATATTTTCGTAATTTCCTATTTTACATTATGTTTTTAAAATTTACCCCATAAGAACAACCTCCTGTTTATGCACCAACTTGTCAACCTGGAGGAGCTATCATATTTCTGTTGAAAAAAACAACTTATTTGTTGATGTAATAGTCAATAAAAGTTAAATATACATTATATAGAATAAATAAATTTAAATAGTAGATTGACTACTTATCTATAATTCAATACCCTACGAGTTATATTTGATAATTAATGAAAAAATATAACACGATCAAATTCTTATAATGTGAAAATAGTTAAAGTTGCATGCGAGTGGACCATACACTCATGAGTCGAAAGGAGAAAAGATAGTAATTAATTGTTTTAGATATGACTATATGAAAAATTGACCCTTCTAAGGAAAAAGTTGACCGCATTCTATTAGTAATYTAGTGGCCCATTTTAGGGTTCATAATTTGGGCCGGCCCTTGTAATGAAAAATCGAAGAACATGACAAAAAGAAACGAACGAGAAATCGAAAAACAAAAAGAGGCCGAAGATTTGCAGCGGGAGCGAGCAAACAGCTGATCTTCTTGTTCCTCTTGGCGCCGGAAAACTCTGCTTCACAGAGTGATCTTCAGATAACACAGAGACGACGGATTCGAATGGGAAACCAGAAGCAGAAGTGGACGTCGGAGGAGGAAGAAGCACTCTTGGCCGGTGTAGCGAAGCACGGCCCCGGCAAGTGGAAAAATATTCTCAAAGATCCTGAATTCGCTCCCTTCCTTACTCACCGCTCCAACATTGACCTAAAGGTCCCGTTCAACTATCTACTATTTTCAATTCCCTTCCCTGGTGTTCCTTGGCATTTGTTTTCCCAGGTTTTCTTGTTTTTTAGGGTTTTAATCATGAGCTCGAGGCGATATTGAAATATTGTGGGAAAAGTTTTGAAGCTTCGKTTTACTTTGTCTTTGTTTAGAGTTCAAATGATATTGGTTTCGCTAACTCGMAATTCGTATAGTTTAACTCACTTGTTTGAGTGATTTAAGATGGAAGTAATTGGGTCTGTTCTAAATTCTTCAAACAATCACAAATCTTCCCCAATACTCTCCAATTATTTTGTAGGTTAATTTCTGGACAAAATTTTACTTTTTGTCTCGCCTGAAGTTTTGCTATTGATCATCAACTGAAAAATGTGAGAAGGATTGGGCTCAAAGTGGAATTACAAGAGGAAGAAAGAATTTTATTAGGTATTTAAAAATTAATTATTATTAATACGATGGCGCGTTTATTTAGCTTGCTTCAATGGAAGAGTTCTGGTTATGGGGTTGAGAAGAGATTCATGGCAATGGCCATTAATTACCTTAAAACTTAAAGTTATGTCTGAATAACGCTATTCTAGTGGACCCACGCGAGTAACTGAGGTTTTGGATGAGCTGATAAGTTCTTCTTTGAGAAGCTGTTCCTAGATGCACCTTTGATATCATTTATGTTCCAGCGTTACTGGAAACCAGTGGTGATATGGTTATATTCACCTCAAAGTTGGGTCTATAATGAATTCCTTGATTAAATATCTGTTATTTTTGCTCACTTTAAAATATAGTCTACCCCAAATAGCATGTCCCTTCCAAGAGACTATGTGCTAACACGACTGCCTAACTACTAGTACTAATATATGCAACTATTTATCTTTTTTGTGTTGCTTGTGTACGCAGGACAAATGGCGTAATTTGAGTGTCAGCACTGCTTCACAAGGCTCGAAAGAGAAGTCTAGGGCTCCTAAAGCAAAAGCTATCGTCGCCGCTTCACTTTCTAACAACCAAAACTCTGTTCCTGCTAGGTTGAATGCATCTGCTGATACTGCAGGGGAAGAACCACCAAACACGAATGCACAGGATGGAAAAAATGCCCCAAGGTCTGTATATCTAACCGTTTAGGTATTTTACATTTGCAGCATAAAAGTCATCTGTATAGTACTGTTATTATTATTTTCTGGGAGTGCGTGAGGGGAGGGGGCAAGGGGACAGTGTTTATAAACTCAGTCTTTCAACATAATATCATATAAGCTCCCCCAACCSCTCCACCCCCACCTATCTCAAGACCATCCCACAAACGAAGTTGATAGAAATGGAATATCTGATGAAATATTTTTAGATGCAAATGAAATAATTCCCCAAGTCGTATTAACCTTTTTTTTTCTTTTACTTAAGAAACCAAACCTTCATTAGACCCTTCGGGGACATCTGATAAAATGTGGAAAAAATGAAAGAAAAAAATCATATTAGTCTTRAAGTATCGTATTTGTCAACAAAGTATTATAGTACTTCATTTTGTTTGCTCTATTATAAAATATAATTGGGTCCACGGAATGTTGTTTTTTCTTTCCCATATTCAATCATTCTATGATGTTTAAAAAATTCTCCCTGCATAAAGAGTATATATGTCTTTCTGGGTATAATTTACTCCATGATTCCTAAATTTTGTCCACTAGGTTAATCGTTCTATGAAGTTATTGGTAGATAAAATTTCCCTTATCTAAGAATACCTTTTTTTCTTAACCTATCATGGTGTAGCCTAGTGATCAATAAGAGCCAATATAAATACCAAAGGGCTTAGAGGGAATAGGTTCAAACCATTGATGGTCACCTACTTAGGATTTGATATCCTACGAGTTACCTTGGCAACCAAATGTAGTAGGRTCGGGTGGTTGTCCCGTGAGATCAGTCGAGGTGTGCGCAAATTAGCCCGGACACTCAGGGATATATAAAAAATAATAAATAAATAAATAAACTTTTTTTCTTTATTCTTTCCATTACTTATAATAAGCACCATGAAATATTCATCATAGAATATGTTACCCCCCTCCCCAACCGCCACCACTTGAAAATAATAAAAAATAATAAAAGAAAATTATGTTATAAGGAGATGCTCTTATGTTATTATCCTGTTGACCAGGTACAATGCAATGATTTTTGAAGCCCTTTCAACCATAAAAGATTCAAATGGATGTGACATAGGTACAATAGTTAACTTTATCGAGGTAAGGTGGAAGTTTCTTCGTCTTCCTTCTTTTTTTGTTTTTCCTTTTGTTTTTAAATTTTATTTTAAAGGAGTGATAAGCAGTATCCTCATTTGTGAGAATRATCTGCATGGAGATCACCCAACATGAMGCTTATTCCAACCTACCACTTGCATAGTTCCATTTTACATTTGTGAGATATGGAGCTGCTTCTTGTTGCTTTCTTACTGCTTCTCGAACTATTCACTATCAATTAACACGAATGTTCCTATTACATGACAACTGTTTATTCCATGTCACGCAGCAAAGGCATGAGGTGCCACAAAACTTTAGAAGGCTATTGAGCTCAAGGTTGAGGAGACTTGTTTCACAAGGAAAGCTCGAAAAGGTGAATGATCTTTTTATTTTCTTGTTGAATCAGTTCTGATAGAGAATTTACTTGTCTTCTGATATTTTCTATGGTTTATCTAAGTTATGTAGTTTGACTCTTATRCATGCTTCTCTTKGGAAAACCAAAACCAAAAAAAAAACTGATGCATGCTTATGGGAAAAATTAAGATGTTGTACAATACATTATTGAGAAAAGAATGATATCGTTGATGCAATATCTATTTCCTTCGTCTGGGTTCGGGCCTGGTTGTAGGGAACCAGATTATCAAAAAAAAAAAAAAAGTATATTTCCTTCATTGTATAGAGAATAAATTTTATTGACATTTTGCTGTAGACTGATGTATACATTCGTTAATGGATTGTTTTTTTGCAATATTCTCCTTCGTTTATAGGACTTCAAATATCTGTTTCAACTTTTCATGGATTGGGTTCCATGGTTTTCTCTATGCCACATTACAGGTTCAAAATTGCTATAAGGTAAGAAAAGACAACTCATTGGCAGTCAAAACTCCTACACCCAAACAAAAAGATGTCAGGCCACGGATACCGCAATATATGGGAGGTTTGATGCCATCAGGAGAGACAGTGGAAGATGCGGCGAGAGCTGCTGCCTACAAAGTTGCGGATGCAGAGAACAAATCTTTCTTAGCAGCTGAAGCTGTCAAGGAGGCAGAGAGAGTCGCGAAGATGGCTGAAGATACGGATTCAATGCTACAGATGATAARGGATGTGTACGAACAATGTAAGTGAAGTGCTGGTTCCTCTTGAAGTTCTGGCTCTTTGGAACTTATTAAACAACTTCTCTTTCTACTTGTGTAATGTTCCAGGTTCTCGTGGGGAGATTATTCTCTTGGCTTAGATCGCTTGTAAGTTTAATGGCCAATCCTTTGTTTTCTTGGAACCCGAATGTAAATTCTTCAATCCAATGGAATTTTCCGCTTTCTTAACGCATCTACGTCCCCCGCCCCGGGCCTAAATTTGGTTCGTTCCCTGCGGTTTTAAAAGTTTCAACTTATTGAGCTTAGTTTCAATTTAGTCCAAATTCTACTGGAGTTCAGTTAGACAAAGTTACAACAAACCCTAGTTCCCTAAGCAGAGGTTATTCAGTTTCACTCTGGCGGTTTTCTTTCAGAGGAGATTAAGCTCATATTTGCTCCATTTTCTACAAGTTTCTGTTTTTTTTTTAAGATACTTTTTTTTTCTATAAGGATATTAAAAAACAAAAAGAAAATACAGAGGAGATGTGCGTTGGAACAACTATTATTAGCTGCATTTAAAACCGATTTTTTTTTTTTTGGTGAAATGTTGTAACATAAATAAAGTAAATAAAATATTTATYATCATGTCTAAAGTCGATTTGGTTGACCTAAAAAAGTGAGATATTATATAAACTGGAATGTAAATATTAGATAATACAAAAAGTAAACAAAACAAAAATACTGAACATAATTTGACGACGATTTGGAAAATGCTACAAGTCATAATATAGTACGCAGCGCTATACAAATCTGCTTGTAAAATATGATAAGTGCGACTGAAAAATTGATTTAACAATTTGGGGATAYGAGAATTGAATTTCTTTATTGTATTGAATTTGAACATTGTGGATAAGACATTTATTTTACTCGTTCAACTAGAAAAAAATTAAAGAAAACTATTTTTTTAATTTATAATTCATTATAGCTCGTAGGTTAATGTCTAATAAAAATAATTACTCTTTTATCTTTTTTATTTCAAAAAGTTTTTCATTTCCAAGGGATGTTCCAATGTTTAAAATATATATTAAAATTTTAAAAACTACACTCTTATATATTGGTACAACGTTTTAGATGTATAGGTAGGTAAAGTCGTGTGCAATAGAAAATGCAAGCACGGTTCAAGGAGAGATTTTTCTTACTTATTTTTTTAACAAGTAATTTATCTACTCCGTTCAACTAGTTCTGGGTTTGAGTCTCGAGCAACCCATATTAATAATAATATTGAACTARTTTATCCTATAGAAATAATATATAAAGTCTAACTCAAATTTTTAACCAATTAAAATAATTATCTTTAAAATTACTCCTRTATCGCTATATATAAAAAACAATTACCTTTAAAGTTGCTCATGTATCACTATATATATTTTGTATATCCGCGAGTGTCCGGTCGAGTCTCGATTAATCTCATAGGATAAGTGTTTAACCCTCCTACATTTAGTTGCCAAAATAACACGCATGATATTAAATTTTAGGTAAGTGGCCACCATGATTTTACTCATGTCTTGATATATAAATTTTTTTTTCTCATACCTTCCGCTTTRAATTGGTACAAAACAACACATATTTAATAAGTTTTTTTTAATTCTAATTCTATTAAATTCATCAGTTTAAATAATAATATAAATTTTTAGATTTTACAAATTATCAGAGTGTTTAACATTTAAAATTCATTTGAATTATATGAAGCATATGATATATGTTTTACATATGTGGGATTTTTTTTTCTTTTTAAGTAGAATAGCATAGAGGTGTGGGGACAAAAACCTTCCACCTTAAAAGAGAGAGTAGATGGTATTACAGATGAGCAAAGCCTTATGTTGATGATAGGTGTTATTGGGGAAGGGGATGACTTCCCGTCCCCGTCCCAGCTCCTATTTCATTATTCATCTTCATGAAACTCCCCATAAAATGTCGGGTCGGATTATATGCAATTAATTATTTTTATGTTTTTTTTTTAAAATAAATCTTCAATTAAAAGTTTATAAATCATCATTTAAATAGTTAAATTTCTCACAATTTTACAATTCAAATTATCCATGACGTAGGAGATTCTCCCATTTAGACCGAGTCCTTGTGAAAAAAGTTAACCCAATTGAGATATACACGATATAATTTAATAATCATCTTAAAATCGACGAAATCAAATTGATTTCATTGTTTTCTTGATTGGTTTATATTTTCTAAGGTTTCACCCTTATTTATAGCTAAATTAAACTTGGCTATCACGCATCAATTTGACACTTTTTCAAAGACGTTGGGCAACAAGCTAGAATGTGTAGCCTTGGAGAACAAGTTTAAACTCGGTCAATCACATGCATACAATATTAATTTTATACTAGAGTTTTAAATGTCAATGTTGATGAAAATAACGATGTCTCAATTTCAAGAAGATGTCAATGAAAATATCAATAAAATGTTAATGTCGATAGATATTTATGAAAAAATTATAAAAATTTTAAATTAACAAATAAAAATTTCATTCTTTCTAAATAAGTTAAAAATAATTAATATTAATACCATGAAAGTTTGTTGATATTTTTTTTATATTTTGTCCTTTTTATTGTAATACGTGTCAATCTATTACTCGTGTCAGTATCAAACACATACATACATGAAAATGTTAATGAAAATATCGACACGTCGACAAATATTTAATACAATGATTTGATGATAGAAATAACGAGATAAATGAAGTCAAGCCGAGCATAGTTAATAATAATTGACATATATTTATAACCAAGAGGGCGTGCGTTTGATTTTCCAACGCCACATACTAAAATGAATGACGAGATAAATAAAACAATAATTATTTGCAAAAAAAAAAATAATAAAAATAAAACATACACACGTATGTCACGTGACTAATGATTACGCAGGCGATCTTTTACAGGGGTACAGAAGTAATAAAAAACTACAGTCAAGGGTAGAAGGGTAATTTCGTAACGCATATTTGGAGCAGAAAGGGGCCGCCTTAGAAAACCTAACGCCATCCCATTATAACTTCACTCCTTAAGCATCAGCCTCCTTTTCAACTCCACGGCGCAGATCCGAGGAGTTTCTCAATCTCTCGCCACCTCCAAAAGCTTTCCAATCTTCTTCTAATCCTTCGTTTTTCACTGATCTACAGGTTTTTCTCTACTCCTTTCCATGCATCTTGCTTGTTATTGAATCGTTTGATTCACGTTGTATGCTTTGTTTCTACTTTTTCATCTTTCCGGTGACGTTTTGCTTAGATTGAGCGTGTTTTTGCCTGTCTGGAATCGATAAAATCGATTTGTGCTGGATCTGATATCGATTTTGTTTAACGTTGATGTCGTGTATCTGTGTTCTGTTAAATCTGTGACTTGTGTGAGCGACGAATAGGTTTTAGATGGTGGCTGTCGCGTTTTTTTTTTAGTGTGTTGAGATTAGTAGATATTTTGGCCATGCGTTATGTAATTTTATGGCCTGGACTGGAGAAACTTCCCTCTAATGCTTCCCGGGCGGTCGATGATGCGGAGGAAGCATTATAGGAGGAGATTTCCTTCTCTGAGGTTATTCTATTACAAAATTTTGTACTATAGCTTCTATTTCGCACATGAGCTTCTCTGTAAAATGTTTTGAGCGAAACTTCCAATGAACACTCATCTCTTTGTTCTATTCTATATTCTCTTCCCTTTGTCATATCATTCCAATTCTAGCAGAACCTTTCAGAAGAAAGGGCGGTGGATGCTACTTCTGTAAGCCTTTCCCTGCTTTCTGAACGCTTGATCATTTGTTTATGAAGTTTAGGGAGCGGCAAAGTGGCTTCTGATTCCAGCAGATTTTATTGACTACATCAGTTGGCCATCTTTACTTTAGAATAATGTCTCCCGAAAATGAAGACAGAATTTTAATGCTTGCACTTTCCTTTTCTGGTGTTGTGCAAGTTTGGTTTCTGATACATTTTCTCATCCTCTTTTTTGGGTTTTCTTTTTCTTTTCTCCCCTCAACGACACCAGATTTGTTTCCAATTTGTCACCCAGCGGGGTTTGTTGTTTGCCCTAGTGATATGCGATCATGTTAATACTCCGTGAAATCCGCTTTATTTTTAAACTGGTGTTTGAAATTAAAGATTTGTTGAGGTTCTTGTTTTAGATGTCTTTAGTGTGTCTCAAATCTGAAGAACATTTTTTTTATCATAAGATACCTCATGTTTCATATGCTGTTTGCTTACAGATATGGCAGGTTTGGCTCCAGAAGGATCACAATTTGATGCTCGTCAGTATGACTCAAAAATGAATGAGTTGTAAGTTTTTTGTATTTATTTTTAGGACTTCTGAGATGATATATATCTGTGTATGCGTGCATATTATTTAGCCTTTTATATTTTATCTTTATTCTGGTTTTTGTAATGGTTTAATCATAGTTTCCTTCTGATTTATTCTCATTGCGTGGTCAATGTAGGCTTTCATCTGATGGACAGGATTTCTTCACCTCATATGATGAAGTCTATGATAGTTTCGATTCTATGGGCCTTCAAGAGAACCTTCTAAGAGGCATCTATGCTTATGGTTGGTCTATAGCACAAGTATTTTGTTCTTCATACTTGTTAACTGTTCTTGCTTTTTACTGTTTAATAGTCAACAAATGGGCAAGCACTTTCAATTTTTAAGTTATTTACTCTTTGCTGGCTTTGTCTGGTTTGCAAATATTCTAATTTTGATCCTGTTTKTAAAGGTTTCGAGAAGCCATCGGCAATCCAGCAGAGAGGAATTGTTCCTTTCTGCAAAGGGCTTGATGTGATCCAACAAGCGCAGTCTGGAACAGGGAAGACTGCAACCTTTTGCTCTGGCATTCTGCAGCAACTTGATTATGGTCTTGTGCAGTGTCAGGCTTTGGTGTTAGCACCCACTAGGGAACTTGCTCAACAGATTGAGAAGGTTATGCGAGCCCTTGGTGATTATCTTGGTGTTAAGGTTCATGCATGTGTTGGTGGGACAAGTGTTCGTGAGGACCAGCGCATTCTCCAAGCTGGTGTCCATGTTGTTGTTGGTACTCCTGGTCGTGTGTTTGATATGTTGCGTAGACAGTCACTTCGTCCTGACTATATTCGGATGTTTGTGTTGGATGAGGCTGATGAAATGCTTTCTCGTGGATTCAAGGATCAGGTTTGTTATTCTTTGTACGTGAAGCTTTTGTCTTGCATGTGTGTTCTTAATGTTTTCAATATAGCTATTAGCCATTATTATCTCCATGATAATTAAGTATTATGAGGAGCAAGTGTATTTGGATTCCTGTTCAGGTTTGTAATTTACGTTAACAGCAGATTTCAAACATTTGGATTGAATATTTAATAGAACAGTTCTTATCGTTTTTTTTTTTTGGTTAAGATAAGTATTTGCTTTCTTATTTTTTGTAAATAATGAGAGATTGCTTCTAGTTCTCTGTTGTTGTTATTACTGGTTGGTATTTGTTACACTTTCGTTGGAGTAAGATTTTTTTTGTTGTTGTAAATAATAAAGTATTGGCTGGATGATGAAATGTGTGTTCACTTATTTTCCCGTGCACGTGTAACTTTTTTTTTTACTTGTTGCAATTCTTTACTTCATTGTTCTTAAATGTGTTTCTATTTCTTCTCTAGAACTCATAGACATGTACTTATCAGCTTTCTTCTTAACTAATCATGTCTTGGAGGTTTGTGGTTTCGATCTTCTATCTCCCCTAACATGTATATTTCGGTTGCAGATTTATGACATTTTCCAGCTGCTGCCGTCCAAGATTCAGGTTGGTGTTTTCTCTGCTACAATGCCACCTGAAGCCCTTGAGATCACCAGGAAGTTCATGAACAAGCCTGTGAGGATTCTGGTAAAGCGTGATGAGCTCACCTTGGAAGGTATCAAGCAGTTTTATGTCAATGTTGACAAGGAAGACTGGAAGCTTGAGACTCTCTGTGATCTTTATGAGACTTTGGCCATCACCCAGAGTGTCATCTTTGTGAATACCCGACGCAAAGTTGATTGGCTCACTGATAAGATGCGAGGCCGTGATCACACAGTGTCTGCTACCCATGGTGACATGGACCAGAACACTCGAGACATCATTATGCGAGAGTTCCGTTCAGGCTCATCTAGAGTTCTCATTACCACCGATCTATTGGCCCGTGGTATAGATGTCCAGCAGGTATCACTTGTTATTAACTATGATCTGCCGACACAACCAGAGAATTACCTTCATCGTATTGGACGAAGTGGACGGTTTGGAAGAAAAGGTGTTGCGATCAACTTCGTAACTACTGAGGATGAAAGAATGCTATTTGACATCCAGAAGTTCTACAATGTGGTAATTGAAGAGCTGCCGGCTAATGTTGCTGATCTCCTGTGATGAATGAAATGGATTCTTGTGGTCAACGAGGCATGGTTTCTCTCTACTCTTCGAAGTACAACTCAAGCTTTTCCCCCCTCTTTTTGCTCTACTTTAGTGTCTTAAATTAATATTCTTGAACCTATCTCTGACCTTGGAAATGGTGTGCCCTGCACCACTGCAATATAAAGATTGTCAAATTGCCATACTGGTAAATTATGGGCCTTTTTGTTTCTGTTGGGGTTTTGTATTGTATTTTTGAGGTTTTTTCTATTGTTGCCTTTTTCCAAGTTATGAAAACTCATCTTGTTTTTGTCACTAGGATTTTGCTAGTCTTTTATTGGGCAAATTTTGATTGTTTAGCGAGCTACCATTGCTTCTGTTCATGTTGACCATTGATATTCGATAATGGTGTAGAATTACTTCGGATTTTATTCTGGCGTGTGATAACCCATCACATTACTATACTTGAATTCTGAAGTTTTATTTATACATGTTCATGTAAAATAAAAAATAATTACTGTATACTGAATCTGTGTACTGGGTTAATGTATTTTCATTTAAACCTTGTGTTCGATGATTTAGGAAATGAAGATATTTCACGTGTTCTATAAATGATTTAATACCAAATTAGGCCCGGCATGAGAATTTTACTACTTAAAAATGGTAAATGTAACACAAAATATATAGATTTCAGAAACTGCACCAGAAATGTGTTGTTGCCTAGAATGGAACATCCAATAGTCACAATGAGGTTTACGTGTGGCCCCATTACTAGAACTAAAGAATTTAAAGCACAAACTAATTACATAATTAATTGTTCATCTAGTTTTTGAATCAAAAGAAACAGCGACCAATACTGAAAAGGAATACAACAAACAGAGTATTGAACAATTAAAATTTGAAGGGCAAAGGGAGAAACTGTATCCCGTTTACCTAAGGCGACTAAAAATGGCTTCGCGGATTGAGCCACATAGTAATCTCCTCTTTCTTCCTAGCATTTTTGTGATGGTAAAATGTTGGTTCCCAAGTTGCTGCTGCTGCTTTCCTAAAACACAAACGAAAGCAGAGCAAAGCAACCCGACTCTATTTACAATGGATAGCAGATAGATAGCGAGCGCAGTGTTAGTCGCTAATGTTGTACCTTCTCATCCTGACTAAAATGGAGGCTTTCAATGCCCCTAAGAGTAGATTCAAAGTTCCTGATGCTTGATACGTTTCTGGCGGAGGTGGCGCGGTTCTGGTCTGCTATCCTGTTTTGCCCACTGGAAATTTTGAGTGCTCCTGCACTGAGATCTGGAATTGGAGGGCGATCGGATTCACTTCCAAGGGCAGCTGCATCTTGAGTGCTAGAGATTGCTGCTCGTCTCGATGATCCACTTGAACGTAAAATATTAGAATTTGGCAGCTGGATGAAGCCAAGATGACATCCACGTTAACAAATGAAAAAAGAGCACAATAACCAGCAAGCAATAAGTACTCACTATAGGTTCCTTGGCACCAGTGGGTTCATTTAAGCCTGGTGGTTTCTGTTTTAAAAAATTCCCAGGGCCAGTAGAGTTCCTCCTTCGCAAGGGATCTGCCGTTGGTACCCAACCACTTGGAGGCGGCCGACCTTCCTCACCACCTTCAAGATACTTGGATAATTAGGTTAAACATCATAAATTTCTTCAGATGTTCTGCAGAAGACTCTTTGTCCTTGGCAAATGCCAGCAGGGGCATAAGATATTAAAATGTGAGGAACTCAAAAGCTCAAACAGAAAAGAACAGAGTTAACTACCAGGGTGCCTATCAGTATTCGCTACAGCCATAGGTACTCCAGAACTTGGTCCGGCACCACCCTAAATGTTTAAATTTACAATGGATTTAGGATAAATAATTGATATTAGAATATAAGGAAAAATCAATGTTGCATGCATCCCAAAACGTACAATGGCACGAGCAGGTGGGGCGGTTATCTGGGATTGCTGGTACTTCAAAATGGTCCAATCAAACACATAATCAAACTGAAAACCTGAAGAAAAAAAACATACTTCTATATTTAAATTCAAAAACCAGTACAATGACACTGTAAAATAACAAACGGATTATAAAACTCAAACCTTCACGAATGAAAAGGTCACGGAAGAGTCTTTTAAGATAAGCATAGTCTGGCTTATCATCAAACCTTAACGACCGACAATAATGGAAGTATGAAGCAAATTCAGTAGGGTATCCACGACATAGGGCCTGAGGCAGAACAATATATCGTCAGTATTATCCAATTGGGTTTCACCATCATATTTGACACAAGTATCACTGGCAACCCCCAAGACATGGATTTACCTCTATAGAAGTGTTGACTTTCTTTTCACTAATCTTTTCGTACTTTTGTTTCTTAGTTCCTGCTTTGAGTCCCTGCCAAGGAAGACTACAAAGATGACAGGTTATCACTCCACATTTCACAATGAAAGAATTGGATGATAACAGAAAAATATTTACCTCCCCCTTAAAAAATACATAAGAACATATCCAAGTGATTCTAAATCATCCCTGCGACTTTGTTCTGCACAACAAGAAGCAAAATAAGGAAGCTGAATGAAATAGAACTAAAAATAATTCGTTCATTTTCCTCCACTTTTCAATGTATGCTCTATTACGTGTGTAATTATTGGGGGAAAGAGTAAGCTGATGGAGGGAAAGGGAAAATAGATACCAATGCCGAGATGGGTATTCATGCTTGCATATCTTGCTGTTCCAGTCAAATTCTTGTTTTCTCTGCAAATCATCAGCAGGTTACATTTACCAAAATCATGGAAATCATTACTTTGGGATCAACCAATAAAAGCCAAATGCCAGGAGACAAGGGTATTCTAAGCATTCAACTTGAAAGTAGAAACTTAGAACATTCGTCTACATTTTCACTCAAAGCCCCAAACCCTAGCCAGAAAACTCAGATGTAGTTTTTTTTTTCCTTTGTTGAAAAGGTAATGAGCTTTCATTGAGAGAAAAATGAAAGAATACAGGGGCATACAAAAAAACAGCCCTAGCGAGAGGAGCTTAACTAAACCAAAAAGGAGCTCCAATATAACCAAAAAAAACAAATCCAGATATATCTGTTTTTCTTGGAATTCATGATATCTCAGAACTAACAATTAAAAAAGGAAAAAAAAAAACAGGCTGCATGGAAGCAAATCCTCAATACTAAAAATAAACAGATAAACAGTGAACTAGAAGTAATTTATCTGCTTTTCTTGGAATATCATGATAACTGAGAACAGACAATTAAAAAAGGAAGGAAAAAAACCGGCTGCAATCTTAACTCTATAACTTTTATCATGGAAGCAAATCCTCAATACTAAAAATAAACAAATAAACAGTAAACCTACATTTTACCCTCAGATAGTTGTAAAAGAATATATTCTAAAAAACTCTAGAAAGACTTTAATAGAATGTTTGAATATACGTCTGGAATGAAGGATAGCCATGCTAATTAACATCTTCAACTTCCAAGGTGTTGTGTCAGAGCATCTTAAGCATTAATACGGACCAGTACAAGTTACACAAAACATTAACAATTAATTTTTTTTTATAAGAAAGCATTGATTAATTAAGAAAGAACTAGGTGGGTGTGGATTAAATTTAAAGTTAAACGTTAAAACCATACTCCATAACTCATATCCTGACAACAAAATTCATGCCACAAGATATCACAACCCAAAAGGTAACAATAAATACTTCATCTGGAATCTTCATAAAACACAGTTCAAATAAATCAACGTGAAACAAACCAATATTGAATTAACAATAACATTTTTTCATTTATAAACCAACTAACCTGTAAGGTATGTGCTGATGAGTTGAAGTGTCTCTATACTTTTTAGCCAAACCAAAGTCGATGGCATAGACCTATGACAACATGGATACAGAACATTGGATGGATAAATCAACATAGAATATGAATCCAAAATCTCATAACAAATTAAAAAATGGAAACCTGATTTGCACGTCTTCCTAAGCCCATAAGAAAATTATCAGGTTTGATATCCCGATGTAGAAAGGACTTGGAGTGGACAAACTCCACCCGGTTGATCTAAAATGGGGCAAAATTATCAAAGTGCATTCATCAAAAAGAATACGAAGTATTCATAGGGATGGGTGAACTCAATGAATTAAATGGTACCATCTGATCTGCAAGCATTAGAACAGTCTTAAGAGACAATTTTCTGCTGCAGAAGTTAAATAAATCTTCAAGACTAGGGCCCAACAAATCAATCACAAGGACATTATAGTCTCCCTCGACACCAAACCACCTCACGTTTGGAATTCCAGCTGTCCAAATTGGGAAGAGTTTGCAAACATGAATGATAAGGTGTGCAACTTGTAAACAAGAGAAGGTTAAGAGTAATGTTTATTACTTCCTCCTTGCAGTATTTTATATAGTTTTGATTCATACAGCAGTTGTGGATGCTTCGTCTTCACATTTTCCTGGAAAGAGGAACTATCTTAGGATATGCAAATATTGCTTGTCATTGTAAAGACTATTTAATAAAAACAGCAATGAACAGTAATCAAAGAATGACTAGGTTGAGTCCGTCCAACCAAACAGGAAAGTTGCAGCTAATTCCAAGCTTAATTCTAACCAACAGCTAACAGAGTACCATAATAATAACTTATCAGCCCATCTTATCAGGGAAAAACAATCATTAGCCCATGGATCCACTAAACTTAAATGCTGAAAAATAATAAAATCAATGAATATCTAATTCGTGAAACATGCATTGCATGAGATTCTTGATCATCATTTTTAACCCATAAATCCATCACTTTCTACATTCACAAGTTCGACAATAGATAATACTGTGAGTCATCTTTTAATCCATAGGGGCTTTAACAAAGTACATCTGTCATAACCATCAACCTTCTATATCAGATTACTGATCATTGATCATTAACACAACCTCATTATGAAAATTGGAACAGAAACCAACTCCTCAATGTCGAGACCCCTTCTACACAGATGCGTACCAAGCAAACCTACATAAACCTTTCAGGCGCCTTCAGAACTACCACAACCACGTCAAGGTTTTGACAGAACAAACTCTTAACACCATCCTCAAAGCTCAACTTTCCAGCCACTGTTGCTTAGAAATTTATTTTATGGTCTCAATTGAAATTAAGGTATCAATTTATGTCCGGTCTCAAATTTTAGTACCACTAATTCACATGTATTTAACGCGTAAACTACTCTAGTCAAATACATATGCATGCCTATTACACGAAAAAAAAAAGGTTATAAGATGACGTAATTATAAGGTCAAAAACTATTGAGGGCATATTGTCA